TTTGGCCACCAAGGTGGTCCAATCCCACCATGAAAGAGAGATGGTTGGACTAAGGCACAGAGCCCTTATTCATGGATTGGACCAAACAGGCACAGTGGGGGCCCACAAAAGTCCAAGTGAATTTTCTTTTCCATTTTTCCCTAACCCCACAAGTGACATGGCATACCAATAAACATCTATCTTCCCTACTGTTGCTGCTTTAAACCAACTATAAATTGCACACCAAACTCCCACACTCTACATTGAAAAAACAAACAGCTTTTGAGAGAGAGAGAGGAGAGAGAGAGAGAAATAACTTTTGAGAGGGAGAGAGGAATAGCTTTTGAGAAGAGAGATGGAGAACTTCCCAGTGATCAACATGGAGAAGCTGAATGGTGAGGAGAGAGGTGCCACCATGGAGATGATTAAAGATGCCTGTGAGAACTGGGGCTTCTTTGAGGTATTATATATCAACTCTTCCTTGTCATGCTTTTGTTTTGATCAATACCTACACATTATTTATATGAATCTAAAGGTTTTTTTTTTATTTATAAAATCATAGTTGGTGCATCATGGAATTCCTCATGATCTTTTGGACACCGTGGAAAGAATGACAAAGGAGCACTACAAGAAGTGTATGGAGCAGAGGTTCAAAGAAATGGTGGCAAGCAAGGCTCTAGAGGGTGTCCAAGCAGAGGTTACCGATATTGATTGGGAGAGCACCTTCCACTTGCGCCACCTCCCTGTGTCAACCATCTCAGAAGTCCCCGACCTGGAGGATGAGTACAGGTAAATAAATCAAAATATTTTAGCATAAATGTCCATCATCATAGAGATTTGTCTCCCTGACACCAACCCACCTCTTCTTCACATCCGGCCTTGGGTACCAGCAATGGGAGAGTAAAAAATGTTATCATAATCTAAGTCTCTATGCTAATCTTCATCAATTTCTCCAATTTATAAGTTGAACCTCAATCTACATTGCTTTCTTAAAATGACCTCATCAATATGAAGAATTGAACCCCGACCTACTACAACAATAGAGCATTTTTCCCAATTACTTGGGTCGGTTACATGAATCAAATGTTTCGACGGAAAATTGAACCCCAACCGCCTAAAAATAATAAAATGGTGTATCCTATGTTTCTTTCTAGTTTGACATCCATTTGAATGATGCAGGAAGGTGATGAAAGAATTTGCTGTAAGATTAGAGAAACTGGCAGAGGAGCTTCTGGACTTGCTATGTGAAAACCTCGGACTAGAGAAAGGTTACCTGAAGAAAGCTTTCTATGGATCAAAGGGTCCGAACTTCGGCACCAAGGTGAGCAACTACCCACCATGCCCTCAGCCAGACTTGATCAAGGGACTGCGAGCCCACACCGATGCTGGTGGCATCATCTTACTCTTCCAAGACGACAAGGTCAGCGGTCTCCAACTCCTCAAGGATGACAAGTGGATTGATGTTCCACCGATGCACCATTCCATTGTGATCAACCTTGGTGACCAACTAGAGGTATATTTAATAATCCAGAGTGTTGTAATAATATATCACTAGTCAAATATTGTATTTATAATTACGATTCTAAAATACTTTTAACAAACACAGGTGATCACTAATGGCAAATACAAGAGTGTGCTGCACCGTGTGATTGCTCAAACAGACGGTACCCGGATGTCGATTGCTTCATTCTACAATCCTGGAAATGATGCTGTTATCTATCCAGCACCAGCATTGATAGAGAAAGAATCAGAGGAGAAGAAACAAGTGTACCCGAAATTCGTATTTGACGACTACATGAACCTATATGCTGGTCTAAAGTTTCAGGCCAAGGAACCAAGATTTGAAATCATGAAAGCCATGGAAACTGATGTTAAATTAGGGGGTCCAATTGCAACGGCTTAAGTGCTGATTTTAAGCAATATAATGTCCAAATAAGTTTGCTTCTTTATAAGTCATATTATGCTATTTGTTGTAAGTCGCCAAAGTTTATACTTTGTAGTTTATAATAATAAAGTTATCTTATAGATAAAGTTAGTTGTTACTGTTTTTCTCTCCTTAGTATTTTTTTTCAATATTAAAATACAGGTGGGCCTACAGAGTTGTAACCAAAAGATAAAACAATCATTTAAACAAGTTTCTGAGAGAACATATGGTTGCTATTATTCATGCAGTCATCATTGCTTGAATGAAAAATACAAGGACACCACTTGATTCACTTATGCAAAAGAATTCCAAAGGTTTAGTCAGACTTCATCTCTCTCCTAGGACCTCATATAGGCAAATACCTTTTTGCCTCTATTTCAATTATGCTCATAATTGTTAGTTTTCCACATTATATTCATTTTTTTTGTTGGCTTCAACACAAAAATACCAATTATATATACATATATCTCATGCTTAACCAGATTGACAAAAGAAATATATATCACATGCTTTATATTCATCAGATTTATAAAATTTTGTTCTCCGTTGGCAAAGACTAACTCCCTATTGAATAACTTTTTTTCCCTTCTTGCTTGAAAAACTTTACCAAATCAATTTTTTATTATTATTTTTTTGGGTGAGTACTTTACCAAGTCATGTTACCCAAAAAAGAAAAAGAAAAAACCTTTACCAAAGCAAGCTGTTACTCTAACTCATCAATCATGGGTGCAATCACAATACGAGTGAACCTAATGTTGTTGATCAGCTATCGATTCATGCAGCTAAATCCATGAAACTCTTCTATCACATGAATACCCATTTGCACACACACACACACACACATCAAATGCTTTTATTTTTTTAGAAAAAATTGTATATCACACGCTCATAAAAGCAAGTTCTTTTTTTGGAAAGTACTTTACCAAAGCAAGTATTCATCAATCATGTGAGTGGGTGCAATCACACCATAAGAGTGGACCTAATGTTGTCGATGGTCCTTTCTTACCTCGCCTCTTATATTCTAAATTCAACCATTCTACTACTACCATCCAACCTATTTCTCTTTTACCTTTTTCTCACTTCTGTCCATTCTTATATTTATAATGTACATTTCAAGGTTACAACTAATTTCCTTTTTAGCTCTTTTGAATTTATGTAATTTTACACTTGCAAATACCCCATTTTCATGTATTAATCTCCTTGACCAATCGGCTCATTTCAAGCTACTAATATTTCTGACTCTCTTAAATTAAAGTAACTTAATCTACAAATAAGCTTTTCACCATTGTGTGTGTGTGTGTGTTTTTTTTAATACAAATTAAAGTGGTTCCCTTAGACCTAAAGATTATAGACAAGCCTTTTTGACTTTATTTTGCACTAAAAAGCTAATCTAATATTTTATTTTAATTCATGCCTTTATATTTGTCTTAATTTCTACATTTCTTTATTATGAACTCACATTTGTGGGATTCATTTATCAACATCACTGTTTGGCATTCTTAATACTCTATTCGATAGGAAATAAAAATATTAGATGTAAGGAAAAGAAAAAGGAATGGATGAGACATATTTAGGGAAGAGATGGTTTATTTTCCCCCACCTTTTTTTTTTTTTTTTTGGTACTGTAATTTAAAACGTATATAATTTAGGATAATATTTAATTTAAAACTTCTACAATAATTCACCTGTCTTTCCTCCTTTATTCCGCCCATTTTTTTATTGATGAAAATTGTAAAGGAGGAAATATGGACCGTCCTTCATATTCTCCTTTCTTTCCTACCTTTCTCCCTACTGAACAAAGCATAAAGCCTTATTCCATCGTCATCATAAGTTGACCATTCTTTCTAAAACAAAAATAAAAAAGAAAGAGAAGTTCGAAATTTAACTACAAAATCTTTGAAACAGTACAATTTCATTACATAAGATTCGTCTATATCTATATGAGTATATATCCCATTCCAAACCACCCAACGTCTCAATCCTACGACGCTAACATATTATATTTCCAAATACACTCGTCCAAATTGGTAGGTTCATATACGAATTGTTAAAAATGTGCCATTATCAGGCTGCTCACAACATATTAAACATTCCTAGTGTGTGAAAAACCCTATAATGTGTGTGCCCCCACCACATGTGCCTTAGTCGACAGTGAGGTGTACTTCTCTTCCAAGGGTCAAGCTGTTCGCCCATTAAAACTGCGTGAGCTGAGTTCAGAATGACGTAAAATATTTCGGTGTTCATAGAATTTTGGTGTTCCAGACGGAGAGTAACTATACCAATACATCCTATACATTGTATGTATGTATAAAAATAATTACAAAAACAGCATATTAGTAATCAAGTGGTTAACCATCATTATACTAGTTTTTTTTATCATCAATTTAACTTCATTTCGGTGGGTTTACAGCCGCCATTGTAATTCACATCCGAAAGAAAAACAAAATTGTCGACAGACGATGGACAATTATAGCCATAAAAACAAATTATAGGCGTAAGAAACAGTGTATGACCTAATGAAAGGGATATGCAACCATGCAAGTGAATTCTGTTTGCTAAACGTATAACTTTTCTTGTAATGGGGATTATGACTGGTTGACAGTAATTAGGGCAGGGCGCAAAGCCACAAAGATAAAAGCACACACTAATGTGTAAAATGTGCACATGTCAAGTTGTCAACAGTCTCTCCAAGAAACATTAGATATGCAAAAGGGTTGTGTAGTTGTTTGGGATGTGAATGGAAATAGCTTGGCAACTTCCTACGCATCAACCCTATCAGAAACAACCAAGCAAATTAAAAATGGCAGATGCATAAAAAAAATGTTAGCAGCCACTACTCTGGTCATGGTCAAGAATGCAAAGAAGAAAATTTTGGCCACCAAGGTGGGTCCAATCCCACCATGGAAGAGAGATGGTTGGACAAGGCACATAGCCCTTATTCGTGGATTGGACCAAACAGGAACAGTGGGGGCCCACAAAAGTCCAAGTGAATTTTCTTTTCTCTAACCCCACAAGTGACGTAGCATACCAATAAACAACTATCTTCCCTACTGTTGCTACTTTAAACCAACTATAAATTGCACGCCAAACTCCCATACTCTACATTGAAAAAACAAACAGCTTTTGAGAGAGAGAGAGAAATAACTTTTGAGAGGGAGAGAGGAATAGCTTTTGAGAAGAGAGAGATGGAGAACTTCCCAGTGATCAACATGGAGAAGCTGAATGGTGAGGAGAGAGGTGCCACCATGGAGATGATTAAAGATGCCTGTGAGAACTGGGGCTTCTTTGAGGTATTATATATCAACTCTTCCTTGTCATGCTTTTGTTTAGATCAATACCTACACATTATTTATATGAATCTAAAGGGGTTTTTTTTTTGGTTTATAAAATCATAGTTGGTGCATCATGGAATTCCTTATGATCTTTTGGACACCGTGGAAAGAATGACAAAGGAGCACTACAAGAAGTGTATGGAGCAGAGGTTCAAAGAAATGGTGGCAAGCAAGGCTCTAGAGGGTGTCCAAGCAGAGGTTACCGATATTGATTGGGAGAGCACCTTCCACTTGCGCCACCTCCCTGTGTCAACCATCTCAGAAGTCCCCGACCTGGAGGATGAGTACAGGTAAATAAATCAAAATATTTTAGCATAAATGTCCATCATCATAGAGATTTGTCTCCCTGACACCAACCCACCTCTTCTTCACATCCGGCCTTGGGTACCAGCAATGGGAGAGTAAAAAATGTTATCATAATCTAAGTCTCTATGCTAATCCTCATCAATTTCTCCAATTTATAAGTTGAACCTCAATCTACATTGCTTTCTTAAAATGACCTCATCAATATGAAGAATTGAACCCCGACCTACTACAACAATAGAGCATTTTTCCCAATTACTTGGGTCGGTTACATGAATCAAATGTTTCGACGGAAAATTGAACCCCAACCGCCTAAAAATAATAAAATGGTGTATCCTATGTTTCTTTCTAGTTTGACATCCATTTGAATGATGCAGGAAGGTGATGAAAGAATTTGCTGTAAGATTAGAGAAACTGGCAGAGGAGCTTCTGGACTTGCTATGTGAAAACCTCGGACTAGAGAAAGGTTACCTGAAGAAAGCTTTCTATGGATCAAAGGGTCCGAACTTCGGCACCAAGGTGAGCAACTACCCACCATGCCCTCAGCCAGACTTGATCAAGGGACTGCGAGCCCACACCGATGCTGGTGGCATCATCTTACTCTTCCAAGACGACAAGGTCAGCGGTCTCCAACTCCTCAAGGATGACAAGTGGATTGATGTTCCACCGATGCACCATTCCATTGTGATCAACCTTGGTGACCAACTAGAGGTATATTTAATAATCCAGAGTGTTGTAATAATATATCACTAGTCAAATATTGTATTTATAATTACGATTCTAAAATACTTTTAACAAACACAGGTGATCACTAATGGCAAATACAAGAGTGTGCTGCACCGTGTGATTGCTCAAACAGACGGTACCCGGATGTCGATTGCTTCATTCTACAATCCTGGAAATGATGCTGTTATCTATCCAGCACCAGCATTGATAGAGAAAGAATCGGAGGAGAAGAAACCAGTGTACCCGAAATTCGTGTTTGACGACTACATGAAGCTATATGCTGGTCTAAAGTTTCAGGCCAAGGAACCAAGATTTGAAGTCATGAAAGCCATGGAAACTGCAACAGCTTAAGTGTTGATTTTAATAGAGAAGGAATGATGTTGTTTGTTTTTTAGGGGTGTAAGCAATATAATATCTAAAGGTGTTTGCTTCTTTAGAAGTCATAGCATACCATTTGTTGAAAGTGGCCAAAGTTCATACTTCGTAGTTTATAATAATGTTATCTTATAGACAAAGTTAGTTGTTACTGTTTTTTTCTCCCTAGTAATTTTTTTTCAATATTAAAATACAGGTGGGCCCAAAAAGTTGTAACCAAAAAATAAAACAATTATTTAAACTTTATTTCTGTGAGAACATATGGTTGCTATTATTCATGTAGTCATCATTGCTTGAATAAAAATACAAGGACACCACTTCATTCACTTGTGCAAAAGAATTCCAAAGGTTTAGTCCAGTCTTCATCTCTCTCCTAGGACCTCATATAGGCAAGACCAAAATGGTTAACCACATTAACTAATTAAACCCAAAACTCCGCTTCAGTTCCCAAGAAAATAAATTAATTATGTGATAGAGAATTATATCCACTGCCACAAAGGAAGTCATACTCTCCAATAGCCCAACTTTTTTATTCTAGCACAGTTCTAAAAAATACAACAATTTAGTCTCAACGGTATTGTTCGAAATGAACAGAGGCTTATTATAAAATTATCAACTACAATGAACAATAATAATAATAAAATAAAATAAAATAAAGGAAAAGTAAGAGAAAGTGTTGAAGGAAATTTCAGAGGGATTTCGGAAAAGACCAACTTGCCATCACAAGATGAAGACATAATCCACCAAAAAGTTACATAGTATTTTGTGATAATAACACGTACTCCACCTCATCAATTTTTTTTTTTTTTTTTTTCCCTAAATGGGTTACTCCACATCATCATTCAACTAGTGTGAGTGGAGCAGCTAATAAGTATTTGACAGAATAAAGGATACAGAAAATTCATACCTTTTCCTTTTCCAAATGCTAATTGGAATATTCAAGAAAGATCAACACTGCAAGACAAATATGAAAAAAAAAAAAAGAAAAGAAAAGAAAAGTATGATCATTTTTATTTATTTATTTATTATTATTATTATTATTTTTTTTTTTGAATTTTAAGAAAGTATGATCATGCAATGCACTTTTTAAGTGGATTAAAGCTTCAGCATGCATTCCCTCCAAAAAAAAAACACAAGGCAAACTCTGTAGCAAAAGCTACTTTAAATATTCCATTACATGTCACTTTCTCATCTGCTTTAAGGCAAGAAAGATAAGAATAGGATCTTGCAATAAACCTAACTCAATTGCAAGCAAAAATTATACCTTAAAAATAGGCTTTTTCCTTCAATAAAAATAATAATAAAAGGTAGTATTTTTGTTATAATAGTCTCATTGAACCCAAGCCTGGAGGGTAACCTCAAAGACCTTTGCCATTTTAGTTAAACATATCTACTTCAAGACAAAATTAATGCCTAAAGTTAGGTTTACATCTAGATGAACTGCAAAATATTGCATAATCATTCCTAAGATTAGGTGTTGACTTCAATGAAAAATTATAAAAAAAAATTATAGTTCCTATTCATATCTTTCAAATTTTTAATTCACCATTAGCTAGACCCTTCAATTCCTTAATGCTCCATTTGATAGGAAGGAAAGAAGATGGGTGGATGGAAGATAGGAAGGAAGAAACATATTTCCTTTGTTTGGTAGAGAGAAGACAAGGAGAGAAGAGAAAAGAGGATCGATGAGTCATCCTTTCTCCTACACAAATTTTCATCCCTCCAAATATAGACAGAAAACCCGAAAGAAGAAAGGCAAGGCTATTATAAATGTTTTTTAAATTACAAAACTTTCCTTATAATTAACACGCTCTTTTCTTCTTTCCTAAAAAACAAAATAATGTATCATCTTATTCTCTTCTCTTCCATCTAACCACACAAAAAGAGGGAAGGGCACAATCTATTCTCTAGGATGTTTCATTTATCTCTTCTTCTCTCCCTTCCATCCAATTTTCTTCCATCCTACCAAACGGAGCATAAGTCTCAAACATCAAATTCAGTAGAAATTTGACTGATGAATTCTGAACTCTTTGCACAATCACTTGTTATTATTCAGAAGAAATCGCATATCAATCCCTATATAACAGCAGAAATCACATATCTATCACCAGTGTTGTTATTATTCAGAATAGAGGATCAATTCTCTTTGAACATTTCACTATTTTGTTATTAATCCATAAGAAACAAAACACAAACAGTAGAACATTCAATCTTTTGATGTTAAACATCTGCATACTAAGAGTACTTAAACTTTAACTTTAGTTCATTCACCGAATTTCTTAATCAGATACATATGATAAATGAATAGTTTGGTGTCACATCCAGTCCATTTTGCTTCAGTGAAATCTAATATATATCTTCGCACTCACACCAAGTTCCTTAATTAGATTAGATACATTATGTCAATAGTTTGGTATCGCGTCTAGCCTATTTTGCTCCCAATGAAATCCAATGTGCATTCTCACCCATCATTTAGTACATTTAAATTGTAAATTACAGATATATAATTTAACAACCATAGAATGTTCAATTAGTCGTAAAGAAAGGTAATCTAATTAGTATAGAGGTTGTCACTTTTGAAGATTGACCGTTGAATGCACAACTACTGCAGTAGATAATATTATTGAACTTGTAAAGAGCGACCATGTGATGCACACTTACTGTAGTAGATTAAACTATTGAACTATCCTGGAGTTCATCACAACCACCCTGCTTACCATATTTTCAGGTCTCTCTTGCATCAAAGAATTAAATCCCAGGATGGTTTTTTTTTTTTTTTTTAATTTATTTACTATAAAATAAAATCAATCTGAACTTATTCTCAAATTTATTCAGTTTTTAACTTTTTTTAAGAATTTTTTTTTGCATTTCTTATATTTGCCTTCATCACTATGCATTTAACATGTTTATCAAAACAACCCAATTTATAGGACCCAAAAACACATCTAACAGGATATTCAGACTGAAAAACTAGCGGCCCAAGACGTGGTGACATTCAAACCCGACTTATTTCCACATGTAACCCAGGAATAAGTATCCACAATATTTGCAATACTAAGGCATTTCCAAGACCTCGAGGTATCTAATTCATCACAAATTTCTATGATCTCATATGTAATTTTTAATAATTTCTGCATGTTTTTCGATAATAATAGATATCAATCAATACATCTATTAACATGTCTATACTTCTGAGCCATATACGTTTTCTAGGTATTTTTGTTTGTTAATTGTAACTAAGGTGAGGAGATCAAATTACCTAATTGCTAGTTTTCAGCCAGTTAGCTGTAACAAGAAAGAAACATCTGTTTTCCCAGTAAGATCTAGCTTATTGTCATACATGCTTTATCAACAATCTTTATAGCCTGGATTCAGTACAGATGATTACTTATTTACAATTCACTAATACATGCTACTTATTGACCTTTTTCAGTCAAAACTGCTCACAATTTCATAAAAGTTCCAGTTAAATCTGATATGTTCTCTACAATACTTTCTGAAAATCATTGAGCGAGAGAAAAAATGGAGTACTTTCTAAAACAGAAATTCATCCTCCTCGCCTAGATAAACAACAATGGATAATTACTAGATTTTTTGCACCAGTATTAGAACAGCATTCCTAAAAGGTTGATGTTTCCAGTATACTCTTATTCATCTGTTAAACACCATCTACTCTAAATGCTTACACTGTCAGAGAGAATGACACGCCCCTTCATGTGTGGCCTTCTTTTTTGTCCATCACATGCTCCAATTTTAATTATCAGGGTCACGGTGAGGTTTGAACTCGGGTGATATCATGTTAATCGCCATCTACTCTTAAAACTTAAGTTATGAGAGAGGGTGTGTAACTTTCATATTTAAATCCTCAAACATCACCAAAATCCTTCATACAGATTCCATAATAATCTTTCTAAATATACATTTTTTATATAAATATTTCTGGTATTTAATAAGTCAACTATGGGTACAAACTCCTTTTCTAGCTGCCTCAAATTTTCATTGTAATCTTTTGGCTGGAAGAACTGGGATAAAAAAGATGCGCTTCAATGCTGATACGTATCACCAACATCCTTATAGCATCTGATTGAAACCTTCTAACCGTGTTATGAAATAAAAAAGGAATCCAAATATATAAACAATATCAGTTCTTATTATGCAACCAAACATATATAGATTGCTTAACAGGAGAGTGAATCAAGGGCATAGATGGGAGTTTGTGAGATCTCAAAAGCAAGAAATGCTGATTAATGCTTTTTATTATCATTAGAAGGAAAAAGACGATCATTCATTTGCTGCCGACATGCATTCCAGAAACATCACCTTTTTCCGGTTGATTCCAATCCAAAGCAGGAACTAAGATGCTCTTCCCAATAATAAAAGGAAGAAAAAGCCTTTCAACATTACTGGTTGTTTACCTCTTCAAACATGAAAATGACACTGACAGATGCTTGAAGTTAGAGACGTCAAACAACTCCATAAACCTTTGATCTGACACTCTAGCTTTGGCAGCTGCAAAGCGCTGATACTCATCAAAGACAGAAGATAGGCACCAATTCTGCAACTTTCTCAAGCATCCCACAAGACAACCAGTTCGATGCTAAAAAAGGAAGCAAAAACGAAACAGCCATATAGAATTTAGAAGATCCATTCTTAAAATCAGTGACGAGACTACAGAAAAACAAGTACTGCACATACCTTTCCTCGTTTGCAATGGATTAAAAGTGGGTGATTCCTTACATCTGCATTACAAACAGAAGAAGAAGAAAAAGTGAATAAAAGTAAAACCCTAAAATAGTTTTTTTTTTTCGGTAATTAAAAAAAAAAACCTAAATTAGTTACACTCATTATGGGACAGAAATGAAGTATTATACCAAGGACGACTTTTAGTGCATCGTAAATTGTATCCTCCGGGATGTTTACGAATGGCTCCTGGATACACAATTTGGAATATCAATTCTTAGAGATAAGGAATCAATTCTAATTAGAGAACTTTTTTCACTTTTCAAGCAGTCAGTTTTTTTATACAAAACTAAGACCATTACTGTGAGTTTACTCAATTTGCAATTCTATTGTATATTGACTAGTGTGTGTGTGTGTATGTGTGTGTGTGTGTGTGTAAGATTCTTCCGGATCATAGTGTGTGTATATGATTCTCAAACTGTAGAATCCACCAATTCTATTGTATATCGACTAATTTTCAGGTTCACAGGCATTTTGACACAGATAAACTCATATCCACCCCAACCTCATGTTTGACAACATGACCAACAAGTTCATTTGTCATCTCTACCAACATCTATGCATCTTTCAACTACTTTTTCCTATAAATTTTACCATGAGCTTGTTGTACCTAGAGGTAAAGAAGAAACAATTAAATTGTCTACAAAAACATAACGTGATGCCTACATAACGTAAAATTTGCACCTTGTGCAGTAAAATACCAGGAACAAAAGGAATATAATACAAGAAATGAAGAGAGTGATCAATACAAAGCTAATGCAGAAAAGAGCAATGAAAAAGCCAAAATTGAAAAGACGGAGTGATGGCCAGAATGTTCAAGATCTGAGATGAGCAGATTCAAGATTTTTATTTTTTTATTTTTAAGAAAAAGGCATTTGAATTAAAAGATGTATTCCATTACCCTAGTTCAGAGGATAATCATAAAAACAATTTTACTCTTCATTTTGGGTAATGAAATCTAGGTGCAACTTACAACTCTCCATTTTATTAGCATCCTTTGTAGACATGCAGATTAGGGGAACACAATTGGTGCATATACATGTATAACTCGCAAATACTACCACTGCAGTGAGATTAGATCAGCAAATAGCAGTGCATGGCCTATTGCTTCTAGATGCTTCTAGTCTAACCAAAAAGTATGATTCCAGCATTAATCTTATTGAATTTTAGTGCAAACTAACGATATGAACACATCGGTTTCTTGGACCTTGGAAGTGCACCAGATCCGCTGTCTGGGGTTTAGCCTTTGAATGTTCTGTACCATGGAAAAATAAAATTCACTCAGCTGACTTTGGCATACAGTTTTATCCAATGATCCATTAAGTGGCAATATAGGTTTAAACTGAACCAAATTAAATTGGACATTAGACCAAATATCCCACATAAATGTATTGAAATCCCATCTCTTTCTTAGATCAGATCGGATCGAAATTAATAAATTCATAATACACCTTCTTCAGGTTGCCCAAACCCAAATCAAAATTTCCAGATCTAGCCAGACTTATTCAGTGATTCATGAGCTTTAACAAATAGGCAACAGAAAGGATCACAATGATTTTTCCACTTATAAATTCTGGAAATGACAACCTTATGGTTACGAGTACTTACAACTACATGGGATTAATGGAAGAAAAATGGCTTTCTCAAATCAAAATAGATAAATAGACGAATAAACAGGTGCCATGACAGCAACAAGATTCTGTAATCCACACACTGACGACAATGATCGTTTTTATTGATGAGACACAGTCTTTGTCATCCAAATGCATGTTTGTACTGCATTCCTATATATACTTGATTGTGAATGAATTAAAACCAGATATATCAAAAATCTTGGTTCTTGATTTTGGAGTTAAAACCAAGTGCATAAGCAAGTCTAAGAAGTCGGCCAAAATTTGAAAAGTTATTTTTTTTATTTTTTTTTTTTTGACCTGGCAAGAAACTCACACACCCATTTGACCCTATGGGAACTTGAACCCTCACCATTCACTTTGGAAGGTAGAGGAGATACCACTAGGCTACAACGTTTGTTTAAAAATTCAATGCATAAATAAATCATTACAGCACTAGACCACTGAGCTATTGACCTAACCTCAATCCATGTTAACCCAGTCAAAACACCCTATAAATATTCTATTACAGTACTACTGTACAAGATCGCTAAGACATCAAACTAACCTCAATCCAAGTTAAACAACTGAAAAGGAAACACTAACTTGTTTCATAATAGCTTTCACTCCAAAGATAGAATACCAACTTATGAAATATTAGAGGATAAAAAAAATAAAAAAATAAAAAAAAAACAAACTAGAAAGAATAAGAAAATGCAAACCAGTATTTACACATGACAAAACATGATAGAGAATTAATCCCACAAACTAGGTTTCACAGCCTCCATGAGGGCCAAGAATAATGCATGGAGATTAATAAATTTGGATTAATGCATCCATTAAAAACACTACCCAATATATGGAGGAACAAAGTAGATGTAGATATACACACACAAAAGAACAAAAGCATGTGATAACTGTTGATCAATGCTATCAGTTCACATGGCAGACAAGCGAGGATTCCAATCTTCCAAGATTTCTCATTCTAAATTGGGAACTTCTACTACTCTTGCATTGCATTACACTTTGGCAGATAACCTAACAGGAAAAGGGAAAACTAAAAATGTTTTCCCTGTCTAATCTAAACCCCTTTAAAATAAATATATATGTGTGGCATGCTTAATTATAAGTAATAAAAAATGATTTATAAACAAACAGGCAAACAACCAAACAAAGAAACAAAAAAAAAAAAATGTGTTGTAAAACTTTTAACTAGTAAAGTTTCCAAAGGAGGAGAGCATGCTGAATTTAGTAAAGCAACAAAGTATCGTTAACAAAATCAATTAAAATAAACTGAATTTAATATTTGTTATAAATAATAAAATCTTCTTCCCAACCCACTAATGCCCCTCAAACCCTTCAAACATTGCATTCTTGCCATTCACTTCTCGTTTAAATGATAAACCTAACTACTAAACTTCAAACACTTCTCATGGTTCTTATGTCAAACAGTAAAACTCCATTTCACATGATAGAAATGAAGCATATTGGTACAATCCCCAAGCATTCAACACTAACCAAAGCTCATTCAAGGGTACTTAAATATAACACCTCAACAAATTCAGATCTCAAATTCTATAGATAGCTAATCAAATCAAATCCATACACACCACAGGAGTTACTTATACCAACTAAGCTAATCACATACTAAAAACCAGTAATATCACAATCATATAACAAAATCAATTAAATTTAATTTAAAATAGAACTGCAAATAGAACATACCTTACAGCCTTCGATCCCGAACTGAAACAAGCGAATCTTATTCGACTTGAGAAACTCGGCGTTCCGCTCCGGATACGGTTCGGGGCACAAATATCTACATATGAATTTTTCACCAAAAATCTAATGTCAATCAACAATATATATATATATATATATATATATATATATATATATATGAAAAGGCAAGAATATAAATATTAGAATGTATATATAGATATATATGTGTAGATACTGACATGATGGAACGGAGGCCTAGGGATTGTATGAAGGGGAAGTTGGCGGAGTCTGGAAAACCAGACCTGAAGATGCCATTATCGACCATAGCGAAATTGAGAGGAGGAGTGTGGAAGTCTTCGGAGTCGTCGTCTCCGGTAGCGGAGATCTCCGTCGGCGGCGAGAGCTGAGGGTCGACCATGGCGACTTCGATGGTTCTGCACATCTCAGTACTGTCTTGGACTTTGTCCACTTTCATAATTAGTGCTACCATACATACAGGATGCAGAGACTAGAGAGTAGAGAGAGAAAGTGTTGAAGATTCTGATGCAGGTCCTTTTTGGCAGTTATAAAGAGAGTGGGATTGAGAGAGAGAGAGAGAGTGTGTGCGTGTCTCAGGTGGCGCGGGAGGGTTGTGATTCTTGTGAAAATGCGCGGTGGCGATGGTATATATACATATACATGTAAAGGTTATATAGAGAGAGAAAGTGTGAGAGAGATAAAAAGGCAGAAACGGCAAGCAACAGCACTGGGTGTTTTGTACAAGGAATAGGAGCAAAATATATGCATATAGAAACAAAATAGCGTGAAATAGGTTGCTTTTCCCATTGGAGTCCCAATGGAATATGTCCACGCGAGTTGTGTGCGCGTTTCGGTCCCACACACCAATAACTATTGCTAGTACTACTAGTTTTGATCTAGAAGGATTGAAATTTAACTAATTTCATGGACTGAAAAGTATTTGGAATAGTTACGCTTCCCAACATTACAATTGCTCTAAACAACAAGATCTCTCGTAGAGTTTGATATTTTGTGTCAGTGTTGACTTTGATCGGAAGATATTAAATGATTATCATACTCACTGTAGTTTTATTATTTTAAAATTTAAAATGTTTATTTTTTTTACGAATAAATAATATTTTCAAGCTTTTTATAACATTATTGTATATTAAGTAAATATTGAACATGACGTAACAGACAAAAATTCAATTTTACGTTAAGGGGATTAGTGTTACGCATACCTAAACCAAATGAGAGGTCAATGTTATATTTAAAATTAGATGATAAATTCTATGCAGATTGCTTGAATAATAAAAATTTAAGTATAATTATCCTTGATAATTTAATGCGAGCTCACCTTAAAGTATCACGTGTTTGGAAGACATTCACTTGGCAGATTTGTTCTTTTTAGTTATAATAACATTATTATTTATTTTCTCAATTGGTTTGGGATAAAAATGAGTAACACTATTTGTGATTTTTTTTTTTTTTTTTTTTTTTATGTTGAAAAAAAAAAAACTCACCCACCTTCTTTGCTTCGAACTTGAATTGTTATATGTTTGACCTTTGAAAGGTGATCAAGAAGTATAGTTAACATGTAGTCTTCGATTAAAATCGTTTGTGATTAAATATCTACAGAGATAATAAAAGAAAAAAAAATTCAAATCAATATATACATTTTTTTTGTCATTGGTAAGAAACTCACACATATACCATTCATATACCCTTTGTCCTTTTGGAGACTCGAACCTCCATCATCCTGCCTTTTTTTCAATACACAGTTGAAGAGACGGATCACGAACGCGTAAGGTGTGGGAGCGATCAACACACACAGACGCACACACACACAACACTTCAAGCTTACTTATGTATCGACTTCGTCACTCAGGTCTAGCCGGTGAATCACGTGAGCTAGTTAGATGAGTGGGATAAAGGATTCGTACATACATTTTGGAAGATAGAAGAGATATCATTAAACTACTAGGTCCTTCATAAAAAAATTCAAATCATAAAATATATATATTTAAATTAATGGTCAAATTTATGTGATATACATTTCCTATAATAATCAATTCAATATCTAACATTAAAGCGTACACTCATAAATTGCGCAAAGTATTTCTCAATGAGGTATAAAATTAACTCTTATAATTAATGTGTGACTTTATTACCTTGTTTAATTGAAAAGATAAAGCCCACCGGACACGAACATCTGATTCACATCTCACTAGACACGCACATTATTTAGCTTATACATACGGTGATTAATATATATATATATATATAGATATAGATATAGTGGAGCGTGATGGACAAACACTAGAGGTGAGCATGTTCATACATCGATGTCCAGTTGAAAATGACAATTTATTTTTTCTTCTTTCTGTGTTTTCCTTTCCTTTCATAGAGGGGAAGTAATTCTTAATCTCTTGTACGGTCAAAACTAGTATTAATTTTTAGATTTCGTATGTGATCAGATTAGAGTAAGGTTGTTGAACTTGAAACATTTATTATTTATATAGGTAGAATTTGACTTTGTTTAATCAGTAGTTCTTTGTCTACACGATTAACGTAGGGGGTTGAATTTCAGACATTTGAATGCAAAGAATTTCAGACATTAACTCTTTGTCAACTCCATCACGCATAAAGTTCTACATCTATGATCTACGCAATTCACATTATTATGAGTATTATTGTCAAAACAAGTTTTGTTTTGTTTTGTATTTTGTTTAATGATAAAACAAAAACACATACTATTTTCACACGGTTTCGAATTTCTCTCCTATTTTTTAAGATACCTTGGATAAAACAAATTTTGTTAATACGGTGTAATATTGATTAATGAACCCTCCATCTCCATTATTAGATGTTGGGTAGGATCTTCTCTATGTGGGCACGAAGAGAAGTAAACAAAGAGGACACTTCATTAATAACTTAAGCAAGAAAATAGAGTGATTTTATATATGCAAAATAAAATAACACTTAATATTGAGAGAGAGAGAGAGAGAGAGAGAGAATACTAGCGATTAATAACCTGCTCTTGGCATAATTTTATGATTCGTGTTTGGAACTGAAGAGACTAGTTATAATCATGATCATGTGATTCTTTTATTTTCCGTGTTTGGAATTGAAAGAACTAGTAATAATCATAATCATATGATTGGGAATCACATTAATTGTTAATTTTATTATTCGTGTTTGGAATTGAAGAGACCAGTAATAATCATAATCATAATCATGTGATTGGAGATCAGGTCAAATGTTAACTTTATTATTCGTGTCTAAAATTAAAGAGACTAGTAATAATCATAATCATATGATTGGGAATCACGTCAAACATTATGCACAGTTGTGCATTCTTATACAATTGGTTGATATAAAATATATTTTATTTTATCATATTTTATTTTATCTTATTGTGGGTTATATTTATATATTTTGATATTTTATTTTTTTTAATAAATAATAGTACATAGGAGTACTATTTTGACAATTAAAAATACTTTCCATTTTATTTTAGGTGACAATTAAACTACCATTCTCTAATTTTAACCTTGGGTTGTACTTGTAAGTGACAAAGTGATGAGTGGCGCCAACTGTGTGTGTGCGTGTGATATATATATATATATATATATATATATATATAGGACAGCATATAACAAGAAAAGTTGGGGAATGGATGAAGAGTACATTCGAAGGAATATCCGGTTTGGGAGTGTCCTTGTTTTGTAGCCGCTTTAAATGTCAGACCTGTGCGCCACGTCCTTTTAGCGAAAAAGTGCAAATACAAAATGCGCTTCTGCTTCTACTGCTTGGAAATTCGAATCTTACCTCCTTATCATAAAACAATCGGATAAATTATACTGACATCCTGTTACACATGGATACACGACCACCAATAAAATTTGGCGGGCGGTTTTCCTAAGTCATACGGTTACCGTTCACTTATTGATTAAATTTTATAAAATACGATTAATATCATTTTTGTATATCAATAAAATATAATATATTATTACAATGTTAAATATTACTGAATTTTCAAAAGTCACTTTTTTTTTTTTATCAAGGGACAAATAGATTTAAGATATGCCAAAATAATAAACGTGGAATTAAATAGTGTGTAATTTTAAAAATATTACTGAATTTTCAAAAGTCATTTTTTTTTGTCGACTGACAAATAGATTTAAGATATGCCAAAATAATAAACGTGTAATAGTGTGTAATTTACTCTTAATTTATTATTGAATCACTCTATAGTCTATATTTAACGTTGAACAATCCTCACAAACTTTCAAGCTATTTCAATGTTTTTGAAACCCATTATTTTTTTCAACAGAAAATTAATCACACGTTGCGTATCCACGAAAGCAAATCCTTCTTCAATTTGTAAATTTAATTATGTCAATTATTAAATTTTATTTATAAATTCTAAAATTAAAATGAATAATAGGTAACCAGTGTTAATTTTACTATATACAATAATGAATGACATGACCAAAGTATTTATGACTCTAACCTAGTTGTAAGTCCTTCCCTTCAAAATTGAAGTGGAGGGTTCAAGTTTTCATGAAAATGAGTATATGACAGTATTTCTTATTTGGGAAAAAAAATTATAATAATCAAGATGTACCTAATATAGGGTAGAGATTTCCAAATATTATGGAATTAAAAATCAACCTACCAAAATAAACCTTGTAATGTGCATGTGGTCCTCCCAAATTTTATATTGATCATTTTTAAAAAATTTGTTATTTACTTGATAAATGTCACATTTACAAGAGATATCCCAACAAAACCAATTTTTTATTTTTTTGCTCAAAAAGTCAAAATCAACAAACTTCTATCATTAAGAAAAGGGAAATATAGATGCCACTTTTTTGGTAAAGATCAAACGTTGTCATGAACCCTTATAAAGTCACAAGTCTCCAATCTATTATCTAGATAAGCTTTCTCCCTCGCACACACAAACACACATGCACACACTTTGTGTGTTGTGCAGTAGGATTGCTTGTAATTAGGAGGCACGCTCTTTGACCCAAAAAAAAAATGTGTCTCTTGCACCAATTTTTTTTATTTGTTGACATTTTGAGTTTGAGTTCAAGTATCAACTAGTTACTTAGTCAATGGCCATTGCGTGCAACCAAATTCAATGGGATAGACCATTTAAAGCCGACTAATTTGACACAATATCCATACCATGGTTGCATTTTCTTGTGACACTATCGTTTTGTCAACGCATGCAATCCTCTGTCTCTTACCTAAAAAGTTTTGCAACATGTTCATACCAAATGATTGTGCCAAATGCAAACGCTAACTTTTAAATACTTAACGAAACTGTTTAGATGGGTTAAGCGTGTGTTACTGCTATTATTGTATATTTTTGTATGATACTCAATCGCTCAAGGCAACTCAAACAACCAAGCCTGTAAATACGAAATGAAACACTTGAGAGTTGAGACTCTCTTCCACAACACAGAGCGATCATTGACTTGAGAAGAATAAAGAACTCGGTTGAACACTAGCCGAACAGGTAACTACATTATTCAACATCCAAACATTTTCAGGTTTGTAAAACCTTGTACATGAAGGGTTTATTACAAAATAATAACAATCACTCCCCATTTAATTATTAGTTTACAATTTAATCTGCAAGTACAAGCACTTTGATCGTTCCTTGACTGTTAGCAGCTAACATCGTAGGGCTATCACTCTTCCAGCATACAGCACTAATGAAGTATGATCCAGCATCTTCATCAGTATCATCCGGATCAGGTGAACCAAATCTATGCCAAGTCACGGGTTTGGAGATGGCCTGCAAGTCCCAAGACTTCAATCAGTTTCGGATTTTTACAGAAACGAAAAAATGCCTCCGGTAGAACATTACTAACCTTGTGGTAGACGAATACTTCGTTTGTTTCGCTGCCACAAGCAATGTATCCACTGTTTACCGAGAGACCCACAAAATTTTTCTCATTCGTGTGCCCTCTAAAGGTTCGAATCTGCAAATATTGTCACCAAGAAGAATTAATCAATGAACGCAATCAGAAAACAATTTATAACCGGTAAAAAAACCCCCATAAACCCAAAAAGATTAATAATATATTAAGGCTTTTGAGCCTCGGATATCTTCCCCATCTTCTCTAGTCCCTCTTTCATCTCTCTGCTCTGGCTCACCTCTTTTGAGTTTCAGATATCTTCCCTCTTCTTCTCTAGTCCCTTTTTTTTTTTTTTTTTTCTCTCCTCTATCTCACCTCTGCTTCAAGGCACATTATCATTTTTCCAGCACATCACTTCACTCCAAGAATGACATGGGAGATAATTGCACAAGCATACATGTTAGTCGCGAGTAGAGAGATGGCAAGGAGGTGAAAAATTCCAAGAACGAAAGTCATTCAATTACTAAAATGGATCCTTTGTGGACAGCTCTTAACATTCGACTAAGAGTTAATTGTTTTGTTATAATAAGTTATTTTGTGGAAACTTTAAAAAATATGCATGTTTTCATGGGGTTTGTTTATTGGATAATGGTTTAGCTTCCCTACAATTTAAACAACTGCAATAAATTAAAAGCAGCAGCAGCAACAACAATAGCAGGTGGCAGATGAGACCAAACAAAACCCCTCCCTATAATATCTAGAATAATTGAGAAAATCTTTCTAAACACAAAAATTGTTGTATATTTAGTTTGGTTCATATACAAACATCGAAGAAACTCCCCCAACAATATAAAAAAATAAATAATAACAAAATAAATATATAATTTAAAACATCCCTTCAGAATCTTGTTTCTTCAAGCAATCTAGATTTCAGTACTATTAGACTAGTTGCTGAAATTTGTGGAGTCACAAAACATCAAGTACACAGCTTGAAATTTTAAACCTCCTTAATATCTCTAAATTTTGTCCTATTTTGCTTTTCTTTCTTTAGTTTTTTCCTTTTTTTTTTTGGTTGCCAGTCATGGAAAGTTGAACCTCAAGGATTTCTAACACAAACTGTGTATCTTAGTTTCTTTTTTGTCACACAACAAATTTACCTTCATTGATCTGATTAAATTGAGTTTGTCAATAACTGCTACTACTGGAGACCAAAATTCCAATTGGCAAACGAATAGGATATGGTTTCATTAAGGTTTCTTTAGCACCAAAGCAAAAGTTATGAAGCATTTTTCTATCGGACGTCTCAACATCATCATCTCTGCCTTTGTCCCATATGAATGAGGGCAGTCACGTGAATTCTCCTTTTCCATTTTTCCTATTATGAACGATGCCTCCTTTAATATTAAACTCTTTTTTTCTCCTACACAACGTCTATATGATTGCAAAATGAAATTAAACATCCTCATAAACAAATTACTCACCGGCAGATTTTCCTTAACATCCCATAATCGTAATGTACTATCTGTTGATGCAGAAGCAAGCTCATTGTTAGACAAGAATTTCACATAGGAAACAGCTTTCCTGTGCCCGCTGAACACATGGAGTGGATGGCTGGTGTTTCTTAAATCATAGTAGTGGATATGATGGTCCGCAGAGCCAACCTGCAAAATGTCAGAAGATACACCGTACCCGTTATAAGGTTCTGGTCTCAAAAGAGGAAACCATAATACAAGAAACTGCAAACCATTGTTATTGTAATCATAATAAGGCATGCTCTACTCTAGGTGTCCGGATCCTCTGTTGTAGCGTGCTGTAGCATTTTTCAATGCATTTGAATCTGTGTTTCAACACATTTGAGGTTAAAGTGCAAACAAGTTTGAGTCTACTGTTGCAATCCCCCCCCCCCCCCCCCCCCCCCTCTCCCTCCCTCTCTCTCTCTCACACACACACAAAGACACACACACAAGGGAGCTGTGCCATATATATATATATATATATATATATATATAATATGAAGGTAAAAGAAGAATAAATAGGTTGGAATAGAGAATACCGCAACATGTATGCTAGATCCAGGATTATACTTGACAGAGCAGATATTTGCTTTCATGTCAATGTTAATAACACTAGCTTCCTGATTTGTGCACCACACTTTGACCTGTTAGTTGCAAAGAAAATATGTGGTTAGTGACAATTGGAGGACAAATTTCTAAAGACATGAATAGGCCAAGATGACATCTCCCTCAGCAAGCACCAAAATGTATCATAAAACAGCATCCTGAATGGTCATGACTAACAGTCACAGAAGAATTACTTACCAGGGAAAAAACAACTATATTGTCTTCAGAGTAGGGGCTGATGCAATGATAAGAGCTTGGCTTGACAAGATTAAGTTCGAGTTTAAACATCAAAGTAGTCACTTTGTGAAAAAATAATGGCAAAGGTCAAATCTTCAATCTTCCTCCCACACCCCGCACACAGAGTGAATGAACACTAGATAATAATAGCCTTTTTTATATTATATTCAAATTCTAAAACCTATGTAAACAATCATAATCTACTTTACTAAAAAGCATATTAGACATAATTGCTTATGTTTGTTGGGTGTGAGTATATATCCAAACGCCAGACTTATCAAATCCCAAAACCCAATGGCATGGCCACTCAGTAAAATTATCTTTTAATATTTTTAGTATTATCTCTTAATATTATCTTTTAATAACGTTTTTATGTCATAGAGAGTGTTCAACATGGACGCTGAACTCATTTTGGTGCAATAGCTAACAAAATGAACAAAATAAGAGTTCCAAGTAGAATTATTCGATATATCCCATTCCCATATCCAAGTATAGTGTATAAGACATTGGCATTTCCTGCATTTTGAAGAGTCCATGTAACATAGCTAATAAGTAAAATTAGTAACCACATGTTGCACTTTGTTACCAACATAGATATTCATTTTCCTATTAACATGCTAAAATGCAAGCACCATGCAATACTTTTGATTAGCATAATACATAAATGTCAATCTATTAGACTTATCAAAAAAATAAATAAATGTCGATCTATTAGGTTTACTGGGCAAAGGCCTACACAGTATATAGGAGAAAATATGGCTGAAACAAGGACAATTAAAATTTTAACATCTATGCTCTCACCAATGCAGAACCAAAGAGACATTCAATTCATTCAAAGTATGCTCTACTAAAAATATTCTTACAAAGATCAAAACCTTTCAGCCACAACTTACCTAGGCCCTTTACCAAAACAACCCTAAAAAAAAATTCCAAGCCTTTTTTAAGTTTTAATTACAACCAAATCTTCTTTCTTGCTCCCGCCCCCAACTCTCATGCTTTGTTCGGTTGGAAGGAAGGAAAAGGTGTGGAGGGAAGATAGGAAGGACGGAACAAACTTCCTTCGTTCGGTTGAGAGGAGACAAGAGAGAAAGGATAATAGGAGGGATGAGTCATCCTTCCTCCTTTACAATTCTTCATCCCTCCAAATATGGGCGAAGAAAGGAGGGAAGACAAGTGGGGCTATTATATAAGTTTTAAATTACTCTTGTCCTAAATTATACAAACACAATAAATTTAAATTACTACTGTAAGGAATTAAAATTTTCTCTTCCCTTCTCTCCTAACGAACACAGTAAATTGTGAGCTTATTCCTTCTCTTCCATCCAACCGAACAAAAAGAGGGAAGGACACAATATATTCTCTAGGGATGTCTCATCCATCACTTCTTCTCTCCCTTCCATCCAATTTTTTTTCCTCTTACTGAACGAATCATCAAAGTTGACTCCTTTATTATCTTGGAAGTCCACACAGCTGTTGCCTTCTCAAAGAGTATGCTGCAGTATTTAATCTTTGGATTCTTCCTAAGACCATCTCTACATTCACTTTCAGGCATCCATGGGGACTATCATCTACTTCATCCTCATCCTTGCCTTGCTTTATCCACTCAAGACTTTCAGCTACATCTGCTGCATTGAATTCAATGCTAGCTTGTTCAATATTTGTTGCATTTACTATACTTCGGAGCTGCAGTTTATCAGTCAAAATTTTTCACAAAAGAAGAGGCATGTTTTTATTTTTCCCTGTATCTCTTCTCTTCCTCTTTCAATTTCAGATTTAATCAGAAACAACAGGAAGTTAGAATTAGTTTCTATCTTTTCTCCTGCTAAACCAGTAAGTCATATTGACCGACCAAGCCAATTTCCCAAGCACCTAGACCATTTTCAGCAGGATGGAGCATGGAATTTGGCTCCAGGGGTGGGGGTCATATTAAACCTTATATAAAAATCCAACTAACAGTGCAACAAGGCAAAATTGAAGGGGAAAAACTTAGGATTTGATTGAATAAAGGGAATACAAATTTAGAAACATTTATAGTAAAAAATAATTTTAAAGGGCGCCCCCCCGGGGGGGGGGGGGGGGGGGGGGGGGGGGGGGGGGGGGGGGGGTGTATTATGTAAATTTCTATAGATATATATTGGGCCAGCATGGGCACGGGGGGAACATCTCCACCCCCCCCCCCCGCGGGCCTATGCTGGCTGTGTCCCTGATTTTCAGGTCCTCCCTCACATAGACCTGAGCATCCATGCCGTCTACTAGTATGTCTCTGGATGTCAGGATCTATCCCACCTCCAATTTTAGCATGCATGAGCAAAACTATTTTGTCACAGGAAAGGGCAGATCTAGGGGTGCACTCTGGTGGGCTTGAGCCCACCCCAAAAAAAAAAAAAAAAAATTTATAATTTTAGGCCAGCTCAAAAAAATAAAAATAAAATAGTACTAGCCCACCCCATTATGCATTTCTGGATCCGCCCTTGGTCACAGGCATTCAGTTTTTCTCTTCTATGTTCAAGGGAAAAATGAAGCGATTGTACAGTGTAGCATTTTCTGCATTGAATTTCCACTCATTTTTTTCCTTTTTTTTTTTTTTTTTTTTTTTTTTTTTAGGTTAGTACTCACACACACATTTCACAATTGCCCACTACGGGGCTCGAACCCCTCACCTCCCCATTGAGGGAGGAGAGGTTATACCATTGGGCTAATGGCCCATTGGTACTAATTTTTTTCTTTTTTCTTCAACCGGAAACATAGAAGGTGCAACATAGGCACTCTGGACCATATGACATTCCAAAAGTCATCAGTGTCACTCTTCCAGTAGATTCCTGTTACCTGTGTCCCATTCTCAATTTCAATTTAGCGTCTTGATTACATTTGGGATTGACTACAGCGCATGACATTGATTCTCAACAAGTTAGCTTAAGATTTGACAAATTTTGTATTGTTTGAAAATAATGACAAGTTTCCTTGTCACACACACCTATATCTTGACCATATTTTTTATATTGTTATGATCCCACTCAAGTAATCAAAATGCAATAACCAAGTCATGTCTACAAATGATATCAAGTACAATATTTTTAGGGAATGAGATGCTATCCAACACTTCTGAGTTCTGAAGCCAATTATCAATCACTTTTTTCTTTTTGCATTAAAATGAATGAAGGATTATCAAAGACAGAAGACTTAATTTGAGGTATAATTTTTTTCTTGAATACCTTGCAATCATCACTGCCAGATACAAGCCTAGAGGGTTCTGTACGTGAAAAATCAACACTCCAAGCTCGTTTCTCATGCTCCTCATATTCCATCACACTCTGAAGACCAATAACAAAAAGTAGATGTTACTAACTGCATGATACATGACAAGAACAATATTTTTATAGAAGACCAAAAATCAATCACATGACTGTATCATACCTGCCGAGTAGTAACATCCCAAACAGTAACTATACCCTCATAGTCACTACTAGCGATTTGGTTCTTAGTAAACTTGTTCCAACTCAAGCAACTAAGCTTGGATCGTGTTGACATCTCCACAACAGGGCAGTGCACATCTGCAGGTTCATTTACAACCTGATAAGCAGGAGAACGATCAACTATCAACAGACCAGCCAAAAAAAATAAAAAAGGATGTCTAATAAGTATTTGAACAGATTAAATAGTGAGAATAGCTAGCAGCATCCCAATATAACCAAGACAAAGACAAAAGAGAAGTTCTGTAGTAGAATTAACAATGTTTATGGTACAAAATAATGATCACCGCCATATGAAGACACCAGCATCATGAATTATTAGAAGACTTTTAAGAATATTTTTCTAAATTGCAAGGACACTTCCTAGAGTTGAATCCACAAATGGACAAGTGCTGGAAACTCCTTGAATCAACACTTCTTGAAGACTCCTTGAATGTGTCTAGTGCATCTTTGGATCGGTCAAAAGACAGTTCACAATTTTAGACACTAGACCAACACTTCTGGTGCACGTTCCCCAACACGCAACAAAAAGACTCTAACCACACTTTGAATGTTAGGGCATGACTTTCTTGTAGAAAAGGAGTATAACCTGAACTCCCTTCTTCTACTTCTATAAGTGAAGGGCATAGATCAGCCTGAAGCTAGAGGGACACTCTTGAATAGAACGAGGAGGAAATGAACCTATGTATGCCAAAACTGAATCTACCGGACTCGGGGATGAGCCCCCATACAAAAAGCATAGAAATGAAGAAATATCCCTCCAACAGGCTGGAACTCTTCTAGCCCGTATCACCATCTATCTTTGTGGTTTTTTCTCTCAGCCAACGTGGTTTCGACCTGAGACTCTCTCGTTGGTATAATGATTAACAAGATTTACAGGTCATTTCAAATTTAATTATATATTATCACAAAAGGTGGTATACAAAAAAAAGTTTTAATACAGACTGACATATATCGACACACACATGTATTGATTATTAAGTCAGGTGTCTATAACTGTTCAACATAGATGTACACAACAACGAACTACAATGAGCAATAATCACAAGTTTTAAGGGGGATAAAGTCCCCTGAGTTTAACTTACACATGATTGGATGATAATGAGAATTATATATCAGCCATGTAACCCATTATACTCCTCCCTGCCCTCTCTCACTGTGATTGACCATACTAATAAACATCCTGATTCCTATCTCTAGGCATATTTACTATTATACTTTTGCCCATTCATTGTGTGTACTACTGAGGTAAAAACTAACTAAAAAAAACTTACCGAGGAGAAGTCAAAAACCTTGATACGCCTCGAAACTCCAGCAGTGGCAAACAACTCATCATCTCGGTCAAATTCTATGCTGCAATAAAATAAGGGCATCTCTATAAGTTTTAGCAGATTTGATTGTTTCAAAATACCAAAGAGCAGGGGAGAAAGGGAGAGAGAGAGATCCTGAAAATCGAGAAATAACAAATGAAATGGCCATGTAATAATTTCTCAAGAATAAGTCTTCCCACAAACTAAAAGGCAAATCATGGCCCAACAACGGCATGCCATGCCAGGGAGTTATTAAATCATCATACCTGTATAAAATAGGTATCCAATCATCTTAGACTTGAGTATACAAAATTACTTCAAGCCTTACAAACAACTTGGTTTGGTAATACTTTTTCAGAAGTTTTTAAGGCTCAAGGCACACCAAAATATCAAGGTCTCTCGATCATAGGCGCAATCCAAGATGCACGCCTGAGCAAAGGGAGGCTATATGGTATATAACATGTCAAAAGAAATCAAATATCATTCCAAATCTGCAATATGAACTGATGCAATCATCTAAAGTTTAAATACATATTTTGCAGTATATACCACAATCAAGAACATGACATTAGCATGGGGCAGATAATAAAGAAAAATGAAAATGAACAGCAAATGGTGCTCAAAATGAGCATGCAACAATGCAATCAACCGAGCAGTAATTTTAGTAACAAGGAACTGCAGACCAAGCGCAACTCAACTGTACAACAATCTGCATAAAATAGGAAGATACAGGTATAGCAAAGAGAGAAAAATATCAACTGAAGCAATACCCCACAATTAGATCCCCAGCATCAGTTCTTGGATTTCAGATATAAGTTAGACATTATAGAAGAAGAGTGAGACTCAAACAGGTGAGTGGCAAACAGAAAGAGTAAAACAAGGCTTGAAGTTAAGTTCTATTAAGCCAAAAGGACAGTGAAAAGTAGAAGATAAAATTGGGTACTGATCAAGAGAGAAACAGGGCAAAGGGAAAAAATTGTACATGTAAAAGTTAAGAGAGAGATATTGTTGACTTCTAGAGAAGAAGAGATTCTAATCTGTTGTTAAGAGAGATTGTTGACTTCTAAATAAAGGAATTTGTAAGGTCGTATCTATTTGTCGATGGTTTTAATCACCAAAAAACAGTCTACTCGTGGATTTCTAGCACATAATGTGCACGCGCACAGACACACACATATATAGATATATATATAGAGAGAGAGAGAGAGAGGCCGTTGATCACATTAATTGCTCCATAAAATTGTGTGCAAAAGTTAACTAGCAGCCATAAAAGAAAAATCAGTAAAACATTAAAAATTCATAATTTGAAATTTCTTGAGCCATGTGCCTGACCAAATGGTGCATGCCTTAAAGCCCCTCATGGGGCCTTAAACGAGGTGCAAACCTGTGCTGACTGCACCTTGCTTTTGGCTCCTAGGAGCACCTTAAACACCCATGCGTTGAATTTATATGTTTCTCATAGACTCTAGACAAATTCTTAGGCCTAAGTTTCCTGTAAGGTCCCCAGCTTGAACAAAACCACTCCTATTTCACTTGAAGTATAAAACACAAGAACATAGGTTACGAACCATTAAAAGCGGTAATTCATCTACAAAAGTTGTCTAAAGGAAATTTAATCAAGTTGGAACAGACAGTTAATCAAGTTGGATCAGAGATTTCTTTTGCAATTCAGTTATATACAACTGCTTCTTTTTTATTTTAAATCCAAATATGACAATTTGAACAATGCAAAATAAAATGGTTTGTCCATATTATACACTGTAGATTGCATAATCATATATTTATAAATACGTAATAATAAAAATTAATTAACCATCGTCTATGAAAGGTAACCTACTCATATTTGTCTGCCTCCTCAAGCAGTTAACAAGATAAGCCCTGCTTGCAGCTTAAGTGACCGGGTCTTAGACAAGATAATTAAATATGTAAACCAAAATACAACTGAAAGAAAATTATAGAAGTGGGAGAAGTTTATGAAAGAGATACAGGTCAAATTTCTAGACTATGGAAAGCCCTCGGTATATAAAAAAAACCAAACATGCTGACTAAATTGTCACCAGCACAACAGTTCTAATTAGTTATATCATTTGGGAAGATGCATACAAAGTCATTTTGCATTAAGAGTGTATATTTCTAACAAAAATCTTTTTATTAATAAAGTCAAACAGAAAAAAATCTAATGATCCAAGTAATATAAATCTGCATCCAGGGGCAGAGCCAAGATCTTGAGGTTGGGGGGCCCAAAATTATAATCAACATTACTTAGCTAGAACTTCTAGGAAAAAAAAAAAATTACGTAGGCAAAAATATTTTACTGTACTATTTATTATATTCATATAAAAATAGGGTAAAGTGCATTTAACCCCCCTGAACTATTGGGGTATGTGCAAGAAACCCCCCTGAACTATAAAAGTTGCAAAAAAACCCCCTGAACTATTGGGATATGTGCAAGAAACCCCCCTGAACTATACAAGTTGCAAAAATCCCCCCTGAACTATTGGGGTATGTGCAAGAAACCCCCCCTGGACTATACAAGTTGCAAAAATCCCCCCTGAACTATTGGGGTATGTGCAAAAAACCCTCCTGAACTATATATTTTTTTGCAGTTTATCCCATCCGAGCGAATTGATTGACTGAAAGGGACGATGAAGCCGATTAATTTGTTGCTGGGATCGGTGGGTCTCATATCATAGCTCCATCATAGCCGTTACACCACCCGCCAGATCCGTTGGCCATATATATCGCACTTCTTTGCACCGTTGCGTCAGCCCATCGTCGTCACCGCCTTGCCCACCGTTCAGCTCACCTTGCTCGCTGGTCCATTCCATCGTCCATTCCAAGCTCGCTGGCCAATTCCGCCATCTCCATAACCGAGCACACCGTCGTCCGTGTTTCGAGCACACAGCCGTCTACAGTTCACCGCCGAGCCCCCTTGCGCTCGCCGCCGCTTCCACAGTTCACGGCCGAGTCAACCGAGCTCTCATCACAACCGAGTCCTCCGCGCACAAGCCGCCGTCATCCGAGACCGAGCCAGTCCGCCAACCTCGGATTTCTTTGGTCTTTTCTCTCTCTCTCTCTCTAGCTCTCTGTTTTGGGTTGTGTTGGGTGAAAAACATCTTTTGGCAGAAAAAAAATGTAAGAAGTGTATAAGTTAAAACGACGCAGTGTGTTATAAGGGTAAACTGGTCTTTCAAAATTTTCAGTGCCGGAAGCTGATGTCATGGGGGTAAATTGCAACAAATTAATAGTTCAGGGGGGTAAATTGCAACAACACCGTAGTTCAGGGGGGTTTTCTGTAGTTTAGGGGGGTTTCTTGCAAATGACCAATAGTTCAAGTGGGTAAATTGCAACAAAATCATAGTTCAGGGGGATTTTTTGTAGTTTAGGGGGGTTTCTTGCAAATGACCAATAGTTCAAAGGGGTTTAATGCACTTTACCCTATAAAAATATATCTATCTAAACTTTTGCCAATTTATTTAAATAAAAAAATAGGTATTTAAACAAGCTTTTTATCAAACTTTCTAAACAAACACCAATAAGATTTATGCCAAAATTATAAAAAAAAATTAATTAAACAATTAGATTTTAATTTATAAAAAAAAAAAAAAGAAAGTCATGTAATACTTGCACAAATTAATAATCATTACACAATATATCAATAAAAAAACAAACAACAATAAATCAATTTTGAGTAACTTAAATCAAAGAATATTGGCAAGTAAAAAGAAAAAAGAAAAAAAAAAAAAGTGATTGGAAAGAATCATGTATGAAATGGAATTTTAGGATAATAAGGTTATTGAAAGAATCGTGAGTTGAAAGGATTTTAAGGTGGTCACATTATGGAAATAACTGTGTTTGAGTTGAAATTTTAAAATAGTCACATTAAATTTTTATATAAGTCAGTTTTTATCAGGATTCTATAGTAGTCATTTAAATCACTTTCTTTTATATTATATATAAATTATCTTTTGTTAAATGCTAATTAAAGAAAAAAAAAAAAAAAAAAAATTTTCTTAGGAGGGCCACGTATGGATTTTAGACCATACATGTTATATTATTCTTATTTTTACCCATACTAAAAAAAAATTCAAAAAATTAGGCGGGGCCATGGCCACCCCTAGCCCCCCCTTGGCTCCGCCCGTCTGCATCCACCATACTTCTAATCATTGTTGATGCACAACTAAACAGTTCCATAATAAGAATGAATAAGCACAAGCCAACATGCTTTATGTGGCACTATATATGTACACACACACACACACACACAGAGATGACACTACACCGACAAAGAAAATTAACTATATCAGAAAAACTAGTATTTTCATGCTTTCACGCAGTTTTCCATAAGCAATCCAAAATTAATAATTGTCAATCTAACAAAGAAACCCAAAAAATTAGGAATTCCTATATTCTTTATTTTTATCAGGTAAGTAGTCACACACATATTGCCCACCACGCCCAGGCTAGAACCCCCTCCCCTCCTCTTTGAGGATAAGGAAGGTTATACCATTGGGCTAATGGCCCATTGGTAGGAATTATTCTCATTTCCTATATTCTTATTTGACGAATTCTCCTGTACATATCTCGATTTGATGTAAAACTTATTCCTTTTCATACCTTTTGGCATACAACTGGCTAAACCACATTCTAACCCTTGAATACAACCATAATATGCAAAAGATTAATAAATATAACTAACCTCGATACAATATTGGCCGAATGAAAAAGATCCCCATGCATAATTTCAGCAATGACCCTTAGTCGACTGTTTTAGATGAATTTAAACATGCAAATCAGCTGAAAGCTAAAGAAAATAAATTATGGAAGCTAAGCTAAAAATGTACAAAATTTTCAAGGAAAGAACCAAGGGTGGACAATTATACCTGTACCGTGTGAAGGTAGTCAGCACCGATTGAAAATCTGCAAGACCTGCACTATAACCTTCTCTTTGTATGACATTCAAATCCCTTTTTTCGTTCTTATGTGGGTGATTCAACTGTCTTCGCTTTTGCAAGTAACACTCTTGTAGGTCATTGAACTGCAGCCAGAGTAGGATATCAGAATAATTCCAACAAACGAATTATAAAAAATTACAGCTTTATAGGGGAATCTACAGTTGCAGCAAAAGAATTTAACCCATGCACATATACATGAAAAAGTATCACAATGTGTCTCTTAATCAAATCCTTGTATGGAAAGAACTTTAAAAAGGGAGAAGGGGGAGAACGGGGGGTGGGGGGGGGGGGGGGGTGGGGGGTGGGGGTGTGTGGGGGGTGGGGTGCTTTTTAACAAGTAAAAATGTGGGCAACAATTTACAGGAGTCCTAAAGATGTCCTTGCTGAAAAGGGATTTGTGTAGCTAACAAGTAGAAATAGAGACAAGGCTTAGTTTAATTAGTTATTTGGGGTTACGAAACTCAGTAACTCATCAACAGCCAGCCCTTATACATTGAGTAAGCATAGGAGGCAGGATCATATTCCTTAACCCTTACCTGTTTTGGCACCAGAAGAACACGAGGCCAATTATACTATTAACTGTCTTATGCAACACCCAAAAAATTATAAAGAAATAAAAGCCCGGTGAGTGGTAAAATGCTCAGGCTGTCAAACATAATAATGCGGGTTCTAATCTTGAGAACAATCATTTTGTGCAAATAATGCCAAAGGTTAGGTCTTTATCCAGTTGCCCCTACCAACACCTTCAACTAATGGGACCACATTTATGACTGTTTAAATAAATAAAAGTTGAAAGTATTGAAATTTTTGAAGTAAAATGACCTGAATAATATATATATATATATATAAACACATAGGGGGGTCATTGCTTAGTGCAATAGTAGAAGTTTGTTTGGGTTCACAATCAAGTTTGAAAGAACCCATTTTATGCAAAATAGCACCAGAGTTTAGGTCTATCTCCATCTCCAATCTTCCCCAACACCTTTTGTAGACGGGACCAAAGCTAGGCAATAATCTTTTTTAACATATTTAAATATATGCATATTAGGTGAATCTGTAGACTGTTGGCTGGTTTTATGGTCCTTCCAGTCACAAAAGTTAACCTCCTCCAATAACTGGAATAATTACAAGGCAATCCACAGAATACCAATACGATAAAAAGCATTTAATGGTCAACATTTCTGCAATTGAAGCTGTTAAAGATCACTAACCTGTGCATGGACACGCTTTTTCCTTACTACAGCCAGACCTGATTGACTCATGTGTTGCGAATCCAATGCACTGAAAGCATCCTTTCTTTGGCATGCAAGAGCGCTTACTTGAGCCTTCCCATCCACTTTCTTGTACGGAAAATTTCCCATACTCATGCCTACTTGCTCATTTCGAGAACTGGAGATAAGGCCAATACTGTTCTTATCAATTGATGAAGGCCGAGATTTTGTCGCCGTAAGATCATCCTGCATCCGTAATTTCACTGAAAACCGGTCCCTTACCTGGTACAACTCTATTCTGTGCCTCTCCACCACATTTATGTCCTCTTTAATATATTGGAGATCAGTTTGTATCTAAAAAGAAAATAAGAAAGAAAAGGCAACAGAGACCAATTAATCTAATTATCAATCTGCTTAATTGTTCAGGAAGGGGGGTGGGGGGGGGAACAGAGCACCTATCACATTTTTTAAAAATTAATCAATTGTCAGCACAACAAAATTTGCAGTAAGCCCTTATCCCCTTTCCATTGGATCAAATTTGAGCATCAAGGAAGCAATAAATAATTCCTTCATGAAGTTTAAAGAAGGACCTTAATAGTGATGAAACATTGAATCCCATAGTTATATATTCAGAACACATAGCAATCAACATCGACAGGTCTATTCAAATTTAGAAGTAGTAGTGGTTACCAAACATATGAATTTCTATGATTACACCATCAAAATAGATACCCAATTCTATGGAACGAACCTCATTTAGTTCTCTGACTTTCTGTTTCCTTAGGCAGTTCAAGAAGTCCAAAAGAATTTTCATATTTCTCTCAGCTTCTTCTTGCTCTAACTTTCTCTTTTTCTCTGCAAGCAGAGACAATAGGATGTCTAGCTCCTTAACTGACACTTCACAACCCTGTCTAAGAATCCGAAGCAAGAATCACAATTTATACTTCTTACATGAAAAAATAATTTGAAACTAAAGAATTTGTAGTCTCAAGTGGATCTTTTTATACTACATTTGACATGTTAGCAATTTATTCTAGTCTGAAACAATAAACTGACCTGTTGCAATGCCTGTCGAAATTGTTCTACAGGAGAAGCCATTTTTGATATTTGACGCGCAGAAGTCTTCTTCAATAGCTACAAATGTGGTACAGAGAAACCGTATAACATTAAGCTGCATTTGAAGGAGATAATTTCATGATACAAATCACCGTCCAATTATACAGTCAGACAACGCAGTATATGTGCTTAATTTAGTAATGTATAAATCTATAATCTATAACACTATTAAAAGTCTATACAATTTTTATTTTTTATATATATTTATATACTATTTTAATTTTTTTTTTTATAAATATATTACTAAAGGTTTGCTTTTAAACATTCATGGTTCATGTTAATAACGTCTATGTCTAAAGGGTTATCCAAGATGATGAACCGTTCCCTCTCTCTTTCAACTCTAATTTAATCTCTCTCACAACAACAATAATTTTGACTTTGTTTCTAAAGTATATGTTGATATGGACGACAAAAACAGGACAAGGAACCTGATCATGTATCATCTGTTATATGTGAATGGTTTTTCTGAGATTGGTCCAATGTGCCTGTTGGGTTTCTTCCCATATATATATATAAACATGTATATATCGTGTGGCATTCAAAGATTGTCCTTTGAGATCTTTGTTTTTGTTCATATATCTTATATCTTGAGTTCATGATTATGAGTAGATTTCCACTCATATGCATATATATATATATATCATGTGGGTTCTAAGATTGTTCTTTAAGATATTTGTTTTCGTTGATTTATATGGTTTAGAGTGGATTAGCTTCTGGTGGAATCATTTTGATTAGCTTAACATGAAATAATACTATAATTTAAGAATGAATAGTAAATATTGTATTAAGAACATGCTATATCTTGAACTCTTATTTGAGGATTTTTTAGGTAAATTATAAAAATAAATAAAAAATAATAATTAATTTTTGTCAGAAGATAAACTCTTATAAAATATAATGTGCATTTGAAGTTGTTTTTGACATTAAATACTATTTTAACAGGTTCCAGCAATACACCAACACAAAATTAGACTATAATTTCAAATTAAAGAATTAATTTTGAACTAAGATCTTTGCAGATTCTACTTTTAAGGTGTTTTAGGTAAGATATAAAAATTTACAAAAATCATTATATTTTTGCACGTTTATATTGAAGATAAATTATTATAAAATGTAATGCTTGAATAGTATTGTTTTTGTTTTTTAATACTCATTAGCATGTGCCAACATTATTCTTTAATCTCAAGTTAAAAATGAATATCAGACTAAACCATGCTCTACTTAAAATCTTACTTTGAAAGTATTTTATAAAAAATTATCCAAAATCATTATAGCTCTTGTTCATTTTTTTTTTTCCCGGAACATTAAAGCTCTTGTTCATTTAGAATGAAGATTTACTATTACAAAATTTAATGTTCTTTTAATGATGAACTTATCACCCGCATTATATGGACTCTCATATTTCCTTTACTTCACAACTGTGAAATCAATGGTGTAGAGAACGCGGATGCAATCTCCAATTAAGATCACCTACAAATAAACAATCACCAAAAGGACAATACAAAATCTATTGTTATGTTTAATTCGTTGTTTAGTTATTTTTGGTCATTCTTGCTTGTCTCCATTATTTCATGCATGATTCTAGAGCTCACTAAACCTTTGTTTGTTTCCGTGGAAAAATAACGAGATAATTTTTCCTCAACCTGACATCCCTGTTGAAGAATGTAAAATTGGTATGACAGAAAAATATGTAGATGTTATATTGTTGTGCTCATTGTGTCCATTTCTCGTGTATTATATGTATCTATTTTTTTTTTTTTTGATAAGTGTATTATATGTATCTATGTCCATTTTATAAATTTGGTTATGTGGTATTGTTTTATTTTAACAGGTTGCCCACATCCAGATCGCACTACTAATGCGAGATTGTTTCTCTAATGCTTATATGTGTTCTTGTTTGAATATCGTATCTCGCATTTGCTAATCTTTTAAAATAAGAGTTTGCATTTTCGTTTGGGGTTTACAAAGATAAATCTTTATATTTTTGTTATCTTCTTTTAAAATACCTTATTTCTGCACCATTTTTCTTTAAATTATCATCTTCTTCTTAACCATTGCACATGTGAGCCACTACTCTAATTTGCGCTTTGAATAAAGCAATATTGATTTTTGTCAAAAATTATTTTAGTCAATTTTACCAATACTTGCATAGCTTTATATTGTTTTAATAACACTACACATGTGGTGGAGTATTGATTTACCTATCTCAAAAATAAAAAGAAAAATACAAGAGTTATATTGTGTGCATGTGTATGCATACAAATATCTATAACCATATTTTTATTATTTTCTATGTGAGAAAAAATTTCAAAATAAAAATAAAAACAAAAAAAAATTCTAGAATTTAGTTTTCATCTACTTACCTTTTTTTTTTTTTTGATAAATAAAAATTTATTAAAAAACGCTCAAAAGGGGAGCGGATCCCAAGAAAAAACAAAAAGCCACAACGGACTCAAGCCTTCAAAGAGGCCAAAAAGTCAACAATCTCCTCCAACGATCTATGATCTCTCCCTGAAACCCCAACAAAAAAGAGTGGAAATAATCGAGAATTTAAGCACCGAAATCGACATCGCCTTTCCTTCAAAATATCTCCTATTCCTTTCAAGCCAAATACACCACCACACACAAAGCGGCGTAGCCCTCCATGCATCCAGACTGTGAGCCCCCACAGGGCAACCTCTCCACGCCTCAATCAACCCCCTCGAAGATCCTGGCATAACCCAATAAAACCAAAATAAGCCGAGCAACAAATCACAACACTCTCTAGCCAAAGAGCAATGAATGAGAAGATGATCCACTGATTCCTCATCACGAAGACACATATAACAACGATTGATCACCACCTGCCTTCTCCTTCGCAAATTATCCTGGGTTAAGATCCTACCCAGAATCGAAATCCACACAAAGAAAGCCACCTTGAAAGAAGCCCTGGAACGCCAAACAGACTTCCAAGGATAACGAACATCAAGATCAAATGAGAGACACTTGAAGAAAGACCTCACCTCAAAACGCCCCTGAGAGTTTGCTACCCAAGACCAAAAATCCGAATCCTCCTCCACAATCCTTTGGCGATACAGCAACTCCAAGAAACGAATGGCCTCCTCGATCTCCCAATCCTGAAAGTAACGCCTGAATCGAACATCCCAAACCAGTCTCCCATTATCAAGATGATAACAGTTGACCACCATGGCCTGCCTATCCGAAGCAATCCTGTAAAGCTGAGGAAAAGCGAGAGCAAGAGGAAAATCTCCACACCACACATCCTCCCAAAAGCGAATCCTCCTCCCATCTCTAAGTCGAAACCGAATGTGTTCGGAAAATTCATCCCAACCCTTCCGAATAAATTTCCAAACCCCCACCCCCCGAGGATCCCGCACTTCCAAAGAACTCCACCCTCCTCTCAACTCCCCAAAACGACACGCCACAACCCTCCTCCAAAGCCAATGTCTCTCCACACCAAATCTCCACAACCATTTCCCAAGGAGGGCCTTATTAAAAGGCACCAATCTACGGAGACCCAACCCACCATTCCGAATAGGCCTGCAAACCTTTTCCCATTGCACCAAATGAAACTTAAACTCTTCAACCCCCCCCCCCCCCCCCAAAACAGAAAATTACGCTGCAGCTTCTCAATCCTCTCCGCAACTGAAGAGGGAATCTGAAAAAAAAAGATAAAATAAGTGGGAAGGCAAGAGAGGGTGCTCTTAATCAGATTGACCCTGCCACCCTTGGAAAGATACTGCTTCTTCCAACCCGCTAACCTTCTCTCGAATCTGTCCACCACTGGGTCCCAAATCCCTACACATCTCGAAGGAGCACCCAGAGGCAAACCTAAGTAAGAAATGGAAAATGACCCAGTCCGACAACCAAGAATGTTAGCAAAAGCCTCAAAACACTCTTGCCCACATTCACCTTAAGGCCGGAGACAACTTGCAACCAAATCAAAACACATCTCAGATATCTAATCTGGGACACATTCGCATCACAAAGAACTAAAGTATCATCAGCAAACATCAAATGAGAGATCTCCAACTGAGAAGCAACATCACTGCCCACCCGAAAGCCCCTCAAAAAACCCAGCTCTATAGCCCTTCTCATCAATCTACTAAGGGCCTCCATCACAAACAAGAATAAGAAGGGGGAGAGAGGATCCCCTTGTCTCAAGCCCCTTGAGCTAGAGAAAAAACCGGAATGAGCACCATTAACAAGGATCGAAAACCGAGCAGAAATGCAAAAGTGCATCCATCTCCTCCACCTATCACCGAACCCCATCCTCTCCATCAGGTAAAGAAGGAAGCTCCAACTCACATGGTCATATGCCTTCTCTATGTCCATATTACAAAGAACACCCGGGACCCCACTACACAATCTGGAGTCCACAGCATTTTGAGAGTCCGAAATGATGCCATCCATAACTTTCCTTAATCTAGAAGCAAGCACCTTGGTAATCAACTTGTAAATACAACCCACCAAACCAATAGGGCGAAAATCCCTAACATCCAATGCCCCCTCTTTTTTCGGAATGAGGGCAATGAACGTGGCATTCAAGCTTTTCTTAAACGAACCCCGAGAATGGAAAGCATGAAAAGCGCCCATCACCTCCCCTTTGACCACCTCCCAACACTCCAGAAGAAATCTCATGGTAAATCGGTCTGGACATGGGGCCTTATCCCCATTGCAACTCTTCAAAGCAAACAGAACTTCCTCCTCAGAAAAAGGCAACTCCAAGCCCAAGCACTCCTCCTCAGAAATCGAGTCAAACTGTAACCCTTCAAGCAAAGGTCTCCACTCAACAGTCTCTGTGAACAACTTCTCAAAGAACTCTGAAAATTCTTTGCAGATCTCCTCCTCCTTACAATAAACAACCCCTTCAACCCAAATCCTCCCTATACGATTGCCTCTTTTATGAGCATTGGCCAATCTATGGAAAAATTGTGTGTTTCTATCCCCCTACTTAAGCCACAAGGCACGAGATTTTTGCCTCCACGAGATCTCCTCCATGATTGCAATTTCAGCAAACTCCGCCTTGCACTCCGCCCTCCTAACCTTCAAAGCCTCCACCAAATCCCCTTGACCCTCCATCCGGTCAATAGCTACAATCTCAGCAAGAACCCGATTTTTTCTCCATTCCAGATTCCCAAAGACCTATTTATTCCAAGTCTTAAGGTTCTCCTTTAAGAGACGCAATCTGCCTGCAAGCACATGACTAGGGGTGCCAACCACACCATTCCCCCTCCCACCAAAGATGGACCCACTCCAGAAAACCCTCAGCCCGCAGCCACATATTCTCGAATCGAAAAGGAGAACTTCTACTTCACAGTCCCCCACAATCCAACATTAACGGAGCATGGTCAGAGATAGGACGAGCCAAAGTAGTCTGAACAACATCAGAGAACCTCTCCTCCCACTCCCCTAACACCAGGAATCTGTCAATCCGAGAGAGGGTAGGGGGAAAGCGACCACTTGACCAAGTAAACGGTCCTCCAACCAAAGGCAAATCAACCAGCCCAAACTCATAAATAAACTCCGAGAAAGCCTCCATATCAGACGTCCACCTACCTCCCGTTGACCTCTCGAATGGAGAGCAAACAACATTGAAGTCCCCTCCAATACACCAAGGCAAACACCATCGACTTCTAATCTCCCCCAACTCCTCCCAAAGCAAGTGGTGCTCACCGTCCTCCGAAGGACCATAAACACCAGAAAAAATCCAATGAACTCCATCCTCTACCAAAGCAAGAAACAAATAAACGCCCAACCTTAGCATCCACCTTAGACACCCATCTGTTATCCCACAAGATCAAGATGCCCCCCGAGAAACCAATAGCATCCAAAGCGACCCACTCCACAAATCCAACCCCCCCCCCCCCCCCCCCCAAAAAAACCAAAGACTCCTCACAATCCTATCAGACATCGAAGCAAGTTTAGTCTCCTGAAGACACACCACATGACCCCCACTTTTACGAATAACCGACTTCACCACTTTCCTTCTAACCGGGTCATTGAGACCCCGGACATTCCATGAAAGAATTTGTAGCTTCATAGGGAAACACTTGGAAAAGCAAACCCTCCCCTCCTTCCACCACTTCTCCCTCCAGACCTGGACCCCCTATTCCTCCTTTCATACGTGATAAAATCATTAAGACTTTGCATCACTGTCTCCCCTCTCTCCTCCTGCAACCCTACCTTACCACCCACCTTTTCCTTAAAATGAGAACTGAGGACATCATTAAACAAACACATCGCCTCATCTACCCTGCCTTCAAAAGAAACACCCAACAAAGGGCGCACTTCCAAGGCCTTCTCCCTAACCCACTCCTCCTCAAGGTCATTCACTCCAACCTCATCTGAGTCACAAACCCAATTCCCCCCTGGTGGAACAACAGCCAAAGGAACAGCCAAATTCACTGCTTGTTCCAATTCTTCCCATGGAATCATGCCCGAGTCCCCATCAAAAGATGAACCTGCAGCTCCCTCCCAATCATCAAGAACTGAAGAGGAATGCGAGCAAAACTGCGAAACAAGCTCCTCCTCTGTCAAAACACCTCCTTAATCACAAAGAACGCCTTTCAAAGCTAAATGGTCCCGTAACTCCTTCAATAGAACAGAGGCCGTTTCATCATCCAACTTCACCTTCACATCCCGACCAGCACGAACCGTAATTCCCTCACCCATAACTTCTCTTCGCCGAGAAAAACCAAGCCTATTACCAGAATCACCATCATGCCTTTCACCATCAATCACTTGTGTATAATTTAATTTATATGCTTATTTAAATGTTGAATGAGTCACTTGAGCTTTAATGATATTGTTCATATATATTATTATTATTATTATTTTTCCGTTCTTAATCAATGATTGTTTCACCACGTGTATCATGTGTGAATTTTACTAGTTATAGTAAAAGTGAAATTATGTAATTTTACCAAATTCATCAAGCAATAGCAAAATGATAATTCATTAAAACGAAAAAGATAACTCAAAACTAATAAGGAACTAATGAGATGAAGGTGAAATTCTAATTTTCTTAATAAATCTATATTCAGTTATTTTGTCATTTTGGTGCATAGGCCATTACTATCGTTTCATTATGTAAAACCTCAGAAGCCCTACAAATTTTCCTTTTCTACTTAAAAAAAAAAAAAAAAATCCCTGCAGTTAATGAAGTACAAAAATAGAGAGAATCAATTTTTGTAACGTTTGACCTGAACTGGTCATGGAAGTTCATTAACAGTTCTATTCAATTTCCATTCTGGATATAAATATTTCAAGAACATTCCTTGAAACAAATAACTCAATTTACACATGAAGTTCATGTTTTCTACCTATCCAAAGCGTTGTTAAAAATTTAACAAACACTCAGCTCATCATTTAATCAACCAGATAAAACCAAGTGTCCTCCAGTTGGTTGCTGATACCTAAACCTATATATAAAAATCAAAAAACTTATCTAGAGTGTGTGAAATATAATTGGTTGGCTTATTTAAGTTATGATTATCTTTACATTGCAAACCAAATTGAATACAATTGTACATTCCATTTGCAAACACAGTTTTAAGTAGGAATCAGATCAATAATTTCCATATATACAGGCAGCAAAGAGATCAACAAAATCAAGCAAGTTATCGAGATCTAAACCAACCTTGTCCAGGAGAAAATTGGGGAAAAGCTGGTTGGTAGTGAGGTAATGTCCACAGCAAGGGCAATCGTTCTTGTTGTGAAGGTGAGTGATGATGCACATGTAGCAGAAGCTGTGGCCACACGCCGTGAGGAACGCGTCTTTGATGATCTGCATACAAATCGGACACAAGTAGTCCTTGTCCAGCTCAGGCACTCCTACCTCCGCCGTCCCCGCTGCTGCGGAGGAGGCTCCGCCGGCCTCCGCCGGATTCATGTCGGAGGAGGACGGTCTCGCCTCCGTCTTCACGGCCGGCACGAGTGCCCCCGTTGAGACCTCGTCCATTTTTCTCCCTCTATATATATATAAAAAAATAGATACTTATAATTATGTATGTATAGTCGCGCTCTCTCTTTAGACGATGTGAGCTTTTTGCTTACACTGAAAGGCGATGGTGGATGTGAGAGGTAAGAAAGAATTGAGACACGCTCGCTATGGTGATGAAGTTGAACTGTGTGATGTGGTTGTGGTTACAGAGAGAGATTATTGTGGAGAGAGAGAAGAGAGATATGGTTGAGAATTGAGAGGAGGCCCACAGTGGAGCGTTTTTGAGGTCGGAAACGGCCCACGCGATCTCTCCACGTACAGGAGACGCCGGTTCTCGGTCAAAATTAAACCGCCTTTTTTCCGTTTTTGAGGGTTTAATTTACCCAACCGCCACTGTTATATGGCTAAATTACATGAAAGGAAAACGCATTATGCAAATTATTTTTAAAATGTTTTTTTTTTTTTTTTTATCTTTTTGGTCAAAAGACCCGAAAACACTCAAATTCCATTAAATTGATCAAGAAAAAATAGTTATTTTGAGCTTCATGAAAAAGCCAACAAAACATCCCATAATATGAGCCATCTATTTGATGAACGCCAACACAATTAAAACAATTTTGAAAATCTTGTATTTTTTTTTTTCAATTATAGTGCTTCACGAGCGTTCAAGTTTTTAGTTCACCATTAACTATATAAATTTCAGTAGTGATTTTTCAATCAAAGCACATTTCACTAGTTTTTTCTTCTTTTCTTTTTCTTTTGTATCTATTTTTTTTTTTTCTTAACAAATTAAAAAAATAAAACTCGAACACAAATATACCTATTCTAAGTGTTGGACGTACTGCTAATAATGCCCTTAAAGCCATCCAGAGAACCCAAATAGCACAGAGGGACCCAAGTTTTTATCATGGAGGCCTTAAGAACAGTACTTGTGTGCAAAATCAATTGTAGTTTATTTGGACAATTCGTTTGGCCCAAATGCAAATGATTCCACTGATTTTGGGCCTAGCTATTTTGACTGATTACCAGCTTCAGCTACTTGTACCCTTTTGGACCATCTCCTCCTATTTGTAGTATTTAACAATGTTAAACTAGTAATGTTAAATGTCCGGTTGCTACCGTTTCCAAAGAAGGACAATGAAGCCATGGAAGATTTTGATAATCTAGTTTGGGTTTCAAACGTTATCTAATGTTGCTTCTACTGTTGCTTTTGGGAAAAAAAAATTAGTTTAAATTTTTAATTATCAATTCTGTTAGAAATAAAGAAAGAGTATAGGACTCATGTATTAGATGTAGTATATGAAGGTTTATATAGGAGAGGTCGTGTGTAGAAAGCAAGTCATTATCATACAAGGTAATTCTATATATGGTAATGAGGGTAGGTTAAGGCAGTTACCAACGTAATGTTATATATGGTAATGATATAAAATATATTCTAACTGATTCAATGCTCTCTCAAACATAAAACACGGATCTATAATGGGATTGTGGGGGCTTTCTTTTTGCTCTTTTATCAATTAATTTTGTTTTCTTGAATTGTATGCTTACATAATTTTGAATGGATCATCCATACTTTAAAAATGAATTTTTGGGCAATTATATGGAAACAATTATCTTACCTATCTAACGCAAAATGTGAGAATTGACCCAAGTTAAGTGTTACAAGTCCCGTATCGAATCTGGATGCGATTTAAAATGCGTATATACCAGTTGAGTGGTAGCTCCCACCTAAGTGTTTGAGTTTTTGGATCAGAACGCGAAACACCGACTCGTTACAATTTGTATCAAACTCAATTCATGATCCGGTGTCATGCTAAACATCCGACCCAAGAGAATTCAGGCAACAGAAAAGGTAATCTGACTTAGGTTTTTCCACTAATAAGAGCCATTGGGCAATCAAAAACCATCTTTATTTTTCTTCTCACCGGTCCTTGAACCCCTGATCTAATGGTTGACAGTACAAATAAGTTCCAAAATTAGCAATTTGTTATTCCTACCTTTATCTCCCCTCTATTTACATATCTTTAATACCGTGTCTTCTCCATTATCTTGCATTTTCTCAACTCTCATTCTCCAACCCATTAAAAAAAAAAAAAAAATGTCATTCTTTTTTATACAAATTGAGTGTTTGTATATGAAAAACGAGCATCGTCTTCATTTTTAAATTTTTTAAAAATTCAAACAAACTCGCACATTTAATATATATATTTCTATGTCACAATAACTCGAACACTCAACCAACTTGATTTCTGCATTCCCTTCTTGTCCATGGAACTTGGGGGAACAATGATCACTCATTTAGGAGTGATTGGATGTTAGAGTCGGTTGCTGAAAAAGTAGGTTTGACCCAAGAGAAAGAAGTTCTGGCTTTATGAAATTCATCCTTTGATTGATATGATATGATTCCTTGTTTGGTTGTTGGATTATTTGGTCTAAAGTTGTGAAACAGAACCATAGTTTAAATTAAAATACATTTGGTCTAAAGTTTGTGGAACAAGACCATCGTTTGGATCAAACATTAGTTCAATTGGAAGTGTGAACACATGACCATCCATTTGGTTACTAACCAGACAACAAAGTGATCTTGACCTAAGCTATAGTTTCCAATAATTAACTTTGCTTTAACTTCCTAGCCCAACTTCCAACTGCTTATTTTATTAGTATTAGTAAAAAATTGCAATGTAGGTCCCTAATGATGATGAAGCTTATGAGCATCATATGTCATCAATGATGCAATTTTAAAATTTTAACAAGGACAAAAGGATGATATTGAGACTTCATTTTAAGTTTTTTTTTAATGAATACAAATGGCTCGATGTAGTTGGACTATAATTTATTTGACTTAATGTGAATCCAAATCTAGCTCATATTTACTCAATTACTTTATTAAAATTTTAGAATAATTTTGAATAATGTCATCATAATACATTAGAAGAGAAGTCGGAGAAATCTTTTCTTGTTTGTGACCGTAAAAAAATAAAAAAATTAAATACATTTTTAACGAATTTCATCACTTGAACGAGTGAACGATAAAACTGATACGAAGGATCGAGGCTCCTATCCCTGTCTTAATTTAAGATGGACCTTAGAAGACATCACTTGAGAAAATGACATACAAATTTTCTTTTCTTTTTCTTTTTCTTTTTCCTTTCCATTCCAGAGCCAAACAATAGGGAACACAGAGCCGACACTCTTGACTTTACTCTGCTTATTTGGGATATAGATTTGTATTCAAATTCAAGTCAAGAACAGATAGCAGAGAGCAGAGCAATTCTAGGGCAGAGCAGAGAGAGATAGAGGGAGCTGTAGAATTAGTTGACTGGTGGTGGTTTTTACTCCTCATAATAATGGGCCACTCATCTGTGGAAATGAGCCACTCATCATTACACTGGGTCTCAGGCTTGAACTGATTTTTGGCATGTGAAGGGATCTCTCGTGGAAATTTTGAAGCAAAATAAAGGTCATTGGCCACGTGGCTCTCTGTCATTGCATGTATAATTGACTAAAAATCTTCTTGGGACCCACTAAATTTTCATGTTGCCAGACGACTAAGAAGGTATGGAAAGATCTGCCGGGTCAATAGAATCACAGAGGTGGCCGTGTTTTACCATGGGGAAAGTTTTGGTACACTTGCTCCCATGCCTCTAGTGCCCCCATTTTATTTGCGAAATTTCATTTTATAATGTTTTTAAGTAATCATAATTTGATTTATAATTCTGAAAATAATTTTTAGAAATTTATAAAATAAAAAATTATTTTTAAATAATTCTAAAAAACAGTTATCTTTTAATAATTAGGTCTGATTAGTTTGTAACTATTAAAACAATTTTTAATAATTCAGAAAACAAAAACATATTTTCAGTTATCTTAAAATAGGTCTTTTTATGTATGAATTTTCAGAAAATAAATTTCAAAAAATGAACTAAACAGAGTTTTTTTTACAATTTTCTAGTTCTCAAATTTATAAACCAAGCAGACCTTTTAGAAAACTAATTTTTGAAAAGGGTTTTTGTGCATTTTTTCGATTTTGAGTTATTTGAAAACAAAAAACTGTAAATACATTTGGTATGCTTTTAATTTTAATTTTAATTTTAATTTTTTATGTTTTTTGCCCAAGTGATTTCCATAACTTTTCTTCTGTTGTGTTTTTAATAATTCATTGGACAGTGAGAAAAAATATATATATTTGAAATGACTAAAAAGGGAAAAGGGATGGAAGAATCCTTCCCTTATTTTATTTTGTTTATTAGAAATTAATAAAAGTTTTGCAATTACTATAAGTTTTAATGAGCTAATTTCATAAAACCTCTGTTACTTTTAATTTTTTATCATAAATCCTCAATCTGTTTCAAAAAATCCCCCATACTTTAAAAAGTTATCACATTACTCCAATATTCATATACGATCCATTACCCGACTGTTAAATGTCAAATTTAACCTTACTATTTAATATTAAATTAAAAAAATAATTATAATTTTTGAAGTTACAGAAATATCTCCATGTCTTCTTCTTCCTCCCTCTGAAACTTTTACCCCATCTCTCTCTAAACGAAAACCACACCCACTCTCTTCAGTTCTTCATCTTTGTTGTGATATAAATATATATTGCAATTATAGTAATTTGAGTGATGATATATATATATACATACACACACACGGACATATCTGCAAATCAACCCGCATTTATATATGGTGGTTTATTTTTTGTAAAGGTTTCATTTTGGTTTATGAATCACATAATTTATTACTATTATTATTGTGATTTCCGGAACCACAGACGTTAATGATGGGAGTGAGAATTAACTCACCGTGGTAAGCTGTCGTGAAGAGCAATGACCGACCTTGGGTCGCAATTTGGAAAGGGTTGGGTCGTTTGTTAGTGACCCAACATTTTTAGAGAGGGACGACAACTATGGGTCGCCGTCCATGGTGGTTTCCAATCGCGCTCCAGCGACCTTGGTGATCGCTGCCGATGACCTGTTATGGGTCAATTAAAAGTAGCGGATCGCTGCTATTTGCGATGGCCAAAACTCTGCACCGAACCAACCAGAGATGTTTGGATGGTGATGTTTGGATTGTGGTTAGTGGTGGTTGTTTTGGTTTAGATATTGAAAGGAGAGGGGGGAGAGGAGGAAGAAGATGGGAGTATTTTTATAATTGCAAAAATAATAATTATATATTTTAATTTAATATTAAATAGCAAGATCAAATTTGACATTTCACAACATAGTTAACGGGTCGGACACGAATATTAGGGTAATGTGATAACTTTTTTAAGTGTTGAATATTTTTTTGAAATAGATTGAAAGTTTATGATCAAACTTTGAAAGTAATACGGGATAGGGTTTTATGGAATTAGTCCTTTAATATAACATTCTTTTCTATACAGGTGTCAAAAGCAAGCCCCTTATGTTGATTGGTCATATCATTTTTTAAATATTTTCATAAATGTACCCTTCAATAAGCACTCCCCTCCCCTTCTTGCATATTCCAAACACAATCTGTAAATTACCTTCAACTAAATTTGAGGTTTTATTTTATTTTTTTCTGACAAATTATGGGAGGGAGACCCAATATGGACGAACCTAATACCAATTAGACTACTAAATAATTCCTTACTAAATTTTAATTTCCGCCAAATGATTTATACTCTTCCATGTCAATAGTAGACTAATAAGTGTGAGTTTTCTTCCTTAAAACCAATTCTAATTTGTCAAGTTACTGAAAATAGAAGTGTTTTTTAAAAAAGTCACATTTAAAATCAAAAAATAAAAAAACTGCTAAAGTGAAGTTTCATGTGTCAAAAAATTGACTATTGAAAAATTAGAATGATTACAAAGATGAAAGTATATTTTCATTAACTACTTTCATAACTATAGGAAAATGGAAATGCCAATAATTTCTTTAGGCATTGCTTATGGTGGTTGTCTCCAATTTACCATCACACAGACACGAGGTGCTTTAATGCTGGCGAGATTAGTGCTATTTTATATTCTTTATTCATGTAACGAGTCTAAACAGTATTTACATAAATACTTCTATTTATTTCACTCTAGAACAGATTGATTACAAGAAAAAAGAGTTGACATAAATATAATTTATTTCATAATTAATGTCATCATTCTTTCATTTCCTTTTCCTTCTCCTTATTAACATATATATTTTGGCTTCATTTCTTTATGAATAAAATAATTTCAAAAAGCAAAAATAATAAAAAGCGAAGTGAATGAAATAAATTTAAGTTTTATTTCAACTATTTGGTTAGGATGGAAAATTTATGATAAAGTTATCTAGCATAAAATTGTTTCAAAAAACTCTAAAACAATATAACTATAAAAGTGATGTGTTTAACTCATTTGTTAATATTTTTTGTTTTTCAATTCTTAGAGAACAAAAAGTTGTTACCAACCAAACTCATTATTATATTATTGCTTTTTCTTTGGAAAGGTTTATGAGAAAAAGAAAAAAATATTTATGGTCTGTTTGATTCAATTTTTTGAAAATAATTATAAAAAGTTTAGAATAAATACATTTATTTTCCTAAGGATAGTTTTTAAAAACATATATTTTTTAATTTAATAAATAATTTTCATAAAACTGTCAATCGAATAATTTATATGCGAAGTATTATAAAATTTCAGTTTTTAGAAAATAGATACCAAACTTGCCAAGTAGAGTATTAATAACAAATTTACTTACCAAAATTAATGAGAATACGGTGTAGTGCCTGGAGCCCATTGAAGACGAAGGTGGTCGGCCCGAGGGAAATAGAGAGAGAGACACGCCAGTGGGCCCCAACTACTCACGAAACAATATTTGACAAGAAACGTTTTCATAACTTTTGGGCCCCACTGGAACCTCCTGTGGCATCCAACGGCCCAGATCTCACTACCCCTTCATCTACGCAACCAAGATTTAACAAGCTTTGACGGCGACGATTCCTTACACTTTTTCAAATACACCACTTTAAAAAAATACAACACAACACACAATACACACACTAAATACTCGGGTGAATTAGCGCTTATATTAGTAGTGGAAAAGACATTAACGCCCTTTATTACCGCGACAAAACGTAACAAACGTTGTACAGTTTGGAATTTTCGGGGGATGTTTTTGTCTTTTGTGGAAGACATCTTTATTTGTTTACTGTAATTTTATCGTACACGAGTGGAAAGAAACTTTATTTTATTTATTATTCAATACAATTTTGGGGGAGTTTCAGACTGAACAGATCCGAAATTTCCCTAGTTCCGAATCTAAAACTAAATCGTGAAAGGGAACAAAAAGTGAGAGAGAGAGAGAGTGAGAAATAGAAAATTTGTAGAATTGGAATATTTGTAGATTTTTCACATTGATTGAATTGAACCTAAATTACGTCTGTGATTCTCTCTCTCTCAACTTATTTTCTCTTCATCTCAGTCTCATTGATGAAAACTTTGTTCCAGTTTGGTAATATCACAACTCTTTACTACTGTTCATCCATAAATCATAATATGTTCTGATCGATTTCGGCTTAGGTTAACTTTTTAGAGAGAGAAACTGTCATCTGATTTTGGTACGAATTGGTGATTTAACTATGGGTTGCCTATAGATTTAGATTTTTATGTACACATAGAGAGATTAAACACATATATAGATTGTTGTGTGTGTGTGAGAGATAGCTTCCATCGGACATCGATGCCGGAGAATCGGCAAGTCCGGAGCAATGGTGGTTTGCCCAGTTCGTCCAATCCATCCGTCAACAACATCGAAGGTAAATTTCGATCTTGAAAGCATTTCTCTGTTTTTGCTTGATTTTAAAGCGACGATCTTTGGAATATGATCAGAGTTTTGATTTTTCTTTTTAGATTGTATTGCAATGCATCTATTGTTGTACATAGCAATTTACAAGTGTTGAATTCACTCTATGTTTGATTTTTTTTTTTTAGTTCTGTTGTCCTAAGTTGTGTGCTTTGTTTATTCCTGAAGAAATATTTAATCTTGCGCATATATGTCTGCATCTACAAACACGCGCACGCACACGCACACGCACACACACGTACATGTATTTATGCGTATAAAATCAAGTACAATGCGATGAATATTGGTGTTCTAAATCCTTAACTTGTGTTGATTTTGATTGCTTTTCTTTTGATTAATGTGTTGTAGAAGCTATAAGGCGGTTGAAAATTCAGACCAATGATAATCATCACAGTGATGCAGTGGGTTATTCGACCCCCTATCCGGATCGTCCTGGGGAACCAGACTGCATCTACTATTTGAGGACTGGGTTGTGTGGCTATGGAAGCAATTGTAAATTCAATCATCCAGCCTATACTGGACAGGTATATGAGCTTGTATCCGATTAGTGTTTTGTTTCAATTCAAGTTTTGACTGCTTTTGAGACACCTATATTTGAAGATTTGTGAGTGTTTCTATGTTCTTTGCTTGCTCTTAGTAATCCATTGTGCTTTATATTGATAATTCTTTTCAAATGTTCTAATACATCCATTACATGTGTCTAAGCACAGGATGGTCTTTGCAGAGGTGAACTCCCGGAAAGAGTTGGGCAACCTGACTGTGAGGTAAATTTGTTTACCAATTGAGATTCTTGTCTTTCGACTAACTGGCAGTTACATTGATGGTTGTACTGTCTTTTGCTGGGATATACTAGAAGTCTTTTGGATAGCAGAAGGGAATAGAATGTTGTTTGATTATTAGTTTCTTACATCTGTTTATATGATTTATTTTTCTTGTATTTGTAAAATTAAATTATATTTGTTGAATAAATAGTCAAAGTAATTATTTAGAAGTATGCGAGTTTGTTCCAGATTTCCATCAGATAAGACTGCGGAGTATTCTCAAGAGAAACTTTGTTAATGAAGTTGTTCAAAAGGTAGTCAGTTAAAGGTTGTTCGTAGTTGTTTCACCAATTTTCCTTTATGTTCAGTTGCATTGTTTTTATTATGAATTTTTGTCGCAGTTACTTAGCTGTATTAATTTGGGAAAACATGGTTTCCTTTTCATGTTAATTTTCATGAAAAACGTTAAAGTTTGTTAGAGCATGCAATTACATGGGATGTTAAATAATTTCAGGAGTATTTGTCTTCTTATTTACATTTCATGTGGTAAAAGAACATGTTGTATTTGGACTTGGTAGAATCTACTGGACTGCAATTTTATATTATTGTGGGTGCATTCAGTTTCTACATCCGTTAAGAAAATTTAAGCTATAAAAACATAGCATGTGTTTTATCTTGTACCACAAATTTCTGTCAGTAGCGGTCACAATTTTAACTTGATTTTTTATGGATTGAGGCTTAGTCAGTTTGTTGACTAATAAGCCCGTGACAGTATATGTCAACTGGGAAATAGGTTTAAGACACCTGCCAACCTAATAAGCCCTTTATTTATTTATTTATTTTTGGAACCAAGTGAGGAGACTGTGTAAGTGGAAAATGTTGAGGTGGCTTAAGAGAAAAAGGTTAGTTTTTGATATATGTTTTGACTTCCCCAAAGTTGGTTATTAATCCATGTGGCAAGAGAATAAGATTCAAATCATTAGTAAGTCTCCCTTTATGGATGATACAATTAGAAAGGTTTCCTCGGTGAGTTATGTTATTAATGATTGTCCACTTCCAATTGTGCATTGCAGTATTTTCTGAAGACAGGAACTTGCAAATATGGATCAACATGTAAATATCATCATCCAAGGGATAGGCACGGTGCTGGAACAATATCATTAAACAGTATGGGGCTACCAATGCGTCAGGTTGTCATTTCCCTTCCATATCTGGATTCTTTTCTTGACTTATCATTGTGCTAGCAGTTTGGGGCCATTACATGGTACAGTGGTAGAAGCTCAAGCTCACTAGTGTGAGAAGTGGGTTTGAATCAAAGGGCAGCCACTGTACTGCCAAATTTAAATCTGTACCCAGTCTGCCCCTCCTAGTACCCTTGATTACAGGGACCATAGTGGGTTATTAGCCTTTCTATTTGTGCAAGCAGTTGTGTTGCCAAATATTTGTTTGTTTCTACATATAGTGAGGTGATCGAATTTAAAATAAAAATAAAAATCAATTTTTTTCTCAGGAAGAAAAGCCGTGTCCTTATTACATGCGAACTGGATTATGTAAGTTTGGAGTCGCATGCAAGTTTCATCATCCTCAGCCTGCATCAGCTGGAACTGTCTTGCCTGTTCGTGGGCCTACTGCCTTTGGATCTGCGGGCTCATCAATTATGCCTTCATCAGGTCTACCTTATTTAGGTGGACTTCCTGCATGGACACCACCAAGAGCCCCGTTTTTATCTGGTCCCTCCATTCAGAGTCCCCAAGCCTACATGCCTATTGTTCTTTCTCCTTCTCAAGGCAACATACCTGCACAAGGCTGGAGCACTTACATGGTCAGTAAATATTTTCTTAAATAGAAAAGAAGGATGAATATGAATTCATAAACTATCTGGTAAGGTGGTTTTTGCATTTCAGTCCTCCTTCATCATTCTGTCATTGTCTGCAATTTCCTTTTCTAAAGCTACCATTTTTCACATTCGTTGAGTAGGAATACTATTTTTTCTGTGGTTTGCAGCAAGGAAAGTTGCACACTCGAAGTGTGGTTGAAACGCCGAGTTTTTGAAATTGTTGTTTTCACTCAATGGCATTCTTATTAGGACAAAATCTTATTTCATTTATTATTATTATTAATAATAATAATAATTATTATTATTATGATTATATTTTTTTCTCGCCAGAAATATGCCTCATATTACTACTTTCAAAATGGGGGTGAGAGAGATTTTTATCTCTGCATGGACAAATCACATTTTTTTGACGCCATCCTGTTGGTTGCTATATTTGCAACCATCGACTCAGCTGATTGCAAGCATGAACATTGTACATTAGCGGTTAAAGATTATTCTTTGCGAACTGCTTGGTCATTGGTAGTTTCCAACTTTCCATTGCTGAAACACCTAATTTTTACTACTGCATTGCCTATTATAATTTTGTTACTATAGGCCCTTAAACTCTAAGGCCATCATCATCCTTGCCTTTATCCCAAACAAATGGGGTCGGCGATTAAACTCCAGTACTATCCGTTTCCAAATTCTTTTTTAAGGATTGCTATGGAACAAACCAAAAATGTTTTACTGTTCTAGTGATTAAAGCCATAAAGACAGATTTCATTATTACTCTTTCTTGGTCACTTGTTTTAAGTTGTAAAGCATCTTTCAATTGTTACCGTATTTGTAAAGACCCACTCCACCACATAGTATGATATTGTTCGCTTTGGGTCTAAGCCCGCACGGTTTTGTTCTTGGGTTTTAACCCAAAAGACATCATACCAATTGGAGACAGCACTAGTACATATAAGCACTTCACCTTCCCCCCGCCCCCCTCCCCCCCGGCGGTTAAATGGTTTTGGGGTGGGGATGGGGGTTAGGATTGAAAACCCGCAAAGTTATGGGGGGGGGGGGGGGGGGATGGGAAAAGGTCACAACCCCAACCCCCCCGCGCCCCGTTTATAGTTATAAATTACAATTTTAAGGTATATATTAACCAAATCTTAATTTATTCTATTCTAATCACTAAATATTATTTTGTATTATTCTTATTTGATAATTTCCATGTACTTTTATGTTCCAACAATAATTTTAGTCTTAAGTTTCAATTGAGAAGTTGAATCTTGTTTTGATTTGCATTAGAGAAAAAGAATAATTATCATAGTTGAAAATTTGTTTTATTATTTACTTTTGTTATATTTGTATTACAATTACAAAAATACTCTTCTACAAATCCCGCCCCGTTTAATAAACGGTTTTGGGGCGGGGGTAGCTATTCTAAACGGGGATGGGGATAGCGTTCACCGCCCATTGCCATCCCTACTAATGACTCGCTATTATTTTGTATTATTCTTATTTGATAATTTCCATGTATTACTTTTATGTTCCAACAATAATTTTAGTCTTAAGTTTCAATTGAGAAGTTGAATCTTGTTTTTATTTGCATCAAAGAAAAAGAATAATTATCATAGTTGAAAATTTGTTTTATTATTTACTTTTGTTATATTTGTATTACAATTACGAAAATACTCTTCTACAAATTCCGCCCTGTTTAATAAAGAGTTTTGGGGCGGGGATGGGGGTTGCTATTCTAAACGGGGATGGGGATGGGGATGGCGTTCACCGCCCCATTGCCACTCCTACTAATGACTTCCTCCACTACATGGTATGATATTGTCTGCTTTGGGCTTGAGCCCCACATGGTTTTGTTCTTGGGTTTTACCGCAAAAGACCTCATACCAATTGGAGATAGCATCACCACATATAAGCACTTTACCTCTCTCTTACTCAGGCAATGCGGGATTGTGCACATATAGCTCGTCCAGTGTAATAGCTTGCCAGTGCCTCGCACTTGCCCATGCACACAACCCGCATAGGTCGCCACAGTTTTAATTTTTGGCTCTCTGCAGTATTTACTTGCTATTTTCTACTGCCATTACTTGTACAAGAGGTTGCCTTGCATATAAAGTTGTAGTTGCATTGGAAGATTCTAATTACAAAATCCTGTGTGGGAATATTGGTAAAGTTGTACTCCCTCTGTCCCTTTTGGGGAGTAGAACTTTTTAAGGGGACAGGTAATTATTGCACTGTCCCCTTTAAAAATTACAAAGCTACCCTTTCAAGTTTAAATATATATATAATCAAGTTTGAAATTTTTAAAATTTTAAGGGTATTTTATGGAAAGATGTGAAATATATTGTTTTAACTTGGTAAGTGGACAAGTATTTTGGGACAACCCAAAACGGAAAGATGGACAACTAAATTGGGACGGAGGGAGTATCTTGGAATAAATATCAGAATGCTTAGGTGGATGAATAATTTAAAGATTGCAGTCGCACCTATGAGTGGATGACCCATTGTAGTTGGGATGAGTTACACAGCACTTTCTAGACTGAAATAAGCACTGGTAAGCAGGGAATTTGAGAATAAAGAACTCTTGAATTTCTGGGTATGCGAGTATGGGTATTTTTCTTTGTTTCTTAGTTATAATGATGGTGGATTTTTACTGGAAATATTCCTCATCGACAATTACTTGGTTTATGTCTTGTATAGAAGCTATTTAGTTTAAAAAATTGTCTAGAAGTGCTATGTCATATTCTACATTTGTTGTCAACTGTGAAGTGCTTTTTACTACACCACAATCATCTATTTATACAAATACACATGCATCGAACTGTTATGTAAACACGCAGCCGATATAATTGTTTCGGTTGAAGGTTAAGATTAAGTCTTCAGAATTTATAGTGGAATATATAAGTTATTTCTCCCTGTACCTGCCTACTACATCTAGAATAGAATTGATGGCATGTTTGCTGATCTACAGTTAATTATCTTCTTGGGAGCTGTTATATTTTGGCAGCTCCTCATGTTGGTTTAGTTGTCAACTAGTTTTCAGTTGACTCCATGATATCACTATATGGTGCTAAAAGTATTGAGTTAGTCTTGCGATGTCAGCCGGAAACAGCTGAACAATTCTCAAGCTTTGATGTGTATTTTCTAATTGTTTGCCTTGTTTTAAGTGAACGATGTTGACTCGCATAATAATATGACTTTCGGACATTCACAGTTTGTCTGTTTTAAGTGTATCCATTGGTTACATGAATCAGACTGATGGTTCATATTGACATGGAAGTTTACAAAATTATCACTTAGACTGCAGTTAGTTGGGATGGAGGTTTTTTTCCAGTTGATTTGAGTGTCATGTGTTACATTTCTGATCCATGTTTTAAATGTCAATCAGGGAAGCATGAGCCCTATATCTTCTAGCGGTGTTCTTGGACCCAATGTTGTTTACAACTCCAAGAATCAAGATGATTCAGGTTCTGGTGGACAGTTGCATATGTTGCCTACATCAATTCTTCATCTACCTGAGCGACCTGATCAACCTGAATGCCGATATTTCATGAGCACTGGGAACTGCAAATACGGATCTTATTGCAAATACAATCACCCAAGAGAGAGGATTTCAGCTAATTCTTTAGGCCCACTTGGGCTACCCTTGAGACCTGTAAGTTATATAGTTATTTCATCCACGTATATTTTTGTTACCTATTCTAGTGAGAATAAGTATCCTCTTATTGTCAAATAGTTTAAAAATGTTTCTGTTTTTTTTTAAAACCTTTTTCCTGGTAAGTATATACTGTATTTATTAACAAAAAAAATATGAATTTGTGAAAAATTTGCAATTTATCAATTTCTTGCTATTATATATGCCTTTTACAAATCATTGAATATTGTTGCAGTGCTTCTATTCCATTTGATTTCCTGCAGATGGTTGACTCCACAACCTCTTGAATGCAGGGGCAATCTATATGTTCATACTACAATCTGTATGGACTTTGCAAGTACGGCCCGACATGCAAATTTGATCACCCCATGGTGTATCCTCATTATAACTTCAATTTGAGCTTCCCTACTCTATCTGTAATGGATCCATCCCTCTTCGCATATCAGAGAAACTCATCAACAGCCCACTCATCTGAAACTTCTCCCTCAAAATCATCTAAAGTTCCTGACTGGAGTAGGAGACTTGACACAGCAAGCAACAAAAGTCAGAAGCCGGACACCAAAACTACTCGAGATTCATCAGAACAGCCAGGTCCTTCCCCACAGTCGTTGCCGGCTTCATCGGAACTTCCACAAGATCAATCTGATTAAGTCAGTTGTCTTCTTTTTTCACTCACCCATTTTGCTACTGAGTTCCTGGAACAACAATTTTTATGACGTGCCCTTCCGTCCCCCTTTGCACGTGCACCCATGGAGTGGATAGATTGTTTTTTTTATCAATGCGATGAGCAGAAGATGGGGGTCTGGAAGGCATTTTTTTGTGGTGAATAAAGTGCAAGTGAAGAAATTGTAAGATTTTTTCTTTTCTTTTTTTCCTGTTTGAATTGTTCACATTTCTTCAGATGGTATTTGTCTCCCACCAAGTTTGCTAGTGATTGCTGTTGGATGTGAAAATATGGTACTACTTATTATATGGGGAAGTCACATACACACCTCCTCAGGAAAGCTTAAATTACACATGGTACTCTCGTGTTTTCAAAAATTACACACGGTACTTCTTTGTTTGTATGACACTGAGAACGACATGACCATTAAAAATGTTTAAATCAGCAGCATCTAAGCACTTTGAAATGCCGATTTTGTCCATTAAATGCATGGAAAGACTATAATGTCCTTTAGAAGTGTTGTGAAATCATAGTTTATCCCTATTACAACAATGGTTAGGGTTGTATTTTTTGATAAATACTGGTAAGGGTTTGTATTTTCTCTCTCCCTTCACTAACCCTGGCATTGTAGGGATGAAAATTAGTGGTGTGATGGTAGAAACTACGGGAACAGAGGTGCATACATAATTATTATGGCCCTTGAACCTTGGATCATACAATCAACCAAGTTGTGACTCGTTTGTCCTAGACTCCTAGAACAAAGGCTTTGCAGTCGAATGTTAGGCTCATTTTGGCTATTGAGGGATTCAAATGCTGGATACAACATGTAATAGATTTCCTTTCTTCAAGTCATTTTGTGTTTGATTACTCCTATTGGTTTGAGATTTCAAAAGATTGTAACGGATTATCTTATTTCCAATATGGAGCCAATAAATTCTTATGTAGAAAGGTAAAAAGTCTGATATTATCAAGGGAAATACAAAATGTGATAGAAATGAACAAGAGCCTTAGCTGAAGAGATCTGTGATGAAGTCCAAGAGTTCTCTTTTTCCTCCTTTTTGCGTATGTATAAAGGCTTCTATTTATAGGCTCAGTCATTTGCCTGGACTTGGACTTCGAGGCTCAGACCCAAAGCTCGGCCCCACCTTGTTAGAGTAGCCACTATGACCCTATTAGGTATTATAGGGTTACTTTGGTCTTTTAGCTCGAGGGCGAGCACTGTTGCATTAAATGCACTTCCTTTCAAAAGCGGCAGTAACTGACAACAATTAATGTGATTATTAATATTACAGTTGAGGCCCGTGGTCACGAGTTGAGGCCCGTGGTCACGGGTCTCTTTTGCCAATTCATGACGCCCATGAGAACCTCGAGGTTATTGAGACATATGGTAGTACTTGAGCTCAACCTCTGTGATATCACATGGACCTTGGGGGTCGAGGTGGACTACGAGCATTGTGGGGGCCTCAAGCTTCACAGGAGCCATGGGGTGTGCCATGTGGCTCTGTGGTTAACATCCCCTACAACGTTCTCACACATATTTATGTTAGGAAAAATTACATATAAATGGAGTCAAAGTTCCATATTTACCTAGAGACTGAGTCAAAGTTCCATATTTCTCTAAAATGGATTGCTGAGGTGGCACATGGTTTTTTACTGTTTAGAAAATTGTGGTGCCTAAAATGCCATTCCCTAACAAAAAAGTAGTACCTTCAGTTCAAAAAAGTAGTACCTTCAGTTCAAAAAAGTAGTACCTTCACGGGTGTTTAAAAAATATGGTACCTGGACGCCAAAAAGTAGTACCTTCAGTTCAAAAAAAATAGTACCTTCGAAGAAAAAGTAGTACCTTCGCGGAAGGGTATTTTAGGCACCACAATTTCTAAACAGTAAAAAACCATGTGTCACCTCAGTAATCCATTTTAGAGAAATATGGAACTTTGACTCAGCCTCTAAGTAAATATGAAACTTTGACTCCATTTATATGTAATTTTCCCTTTATGTTATAAACTTTGACTCCATTTATATGTAATTTTCCCTTTATGTTATGTACCAACAGGCCTGTGGTCTAGCGGCCCTGTGTGTGAGTCCCAACTAGGAAAAAAAAAAATAATAATAATAATTAGTGATGTTTATTGAACATATCATCATCTAAGTCACATGGATCGGGTACACGAGCGAATGTGAGAGCAAGAGCGTAAAAGCGGCAAAATTAAAATCACACAAAAAAAGATTGAGAACAAGAATGGAGGCGAGAATGTCATCCGCCGCCCACTTAGAAGAATTATGTAACTTAAATCATGATAAACATGCTATTCTAGTCCCCTGCACCAACATCAAAACTAGATTTTGTTTTTATTTTTTATTTAACCAAAATCACTCATTATACCAAAAATGTTGCAATGACAAGTCAATAAATGGTTCACATCTAACACTATCAATTTATATGATGCCCCCAAACCAAACAATATCATCCATATCTAAAAACTCTATCAACTAATATGCCTCCAAACCAAAAAATATATTCCTCCACCACTCTTGCTGGATTTAGCTTCATAAACTGCTATACCTAATTGATATTGAAGACAGCCATACATATACCAAATTTCCATTGCCACATTCATGCTTTGTCATTTATGGCAAAGGATTTGATAAATGTCCAATAAACTAATCAAATAGAAAGCCAGACAGACTCTGCCGGCTTGCAGGTGAGGTTAAAAACACTTTAGCTGGAATACTCGTTTTGTTTCTTAACGATCACGCTCCACAAGGTACTGCCGCTCACAGACTTGGTTGTTGTCATGAGCTTTTCTTTGAAAATTAACACGTTTTTAATACAAAAAGTAATGCACCAATCACAGCAACAAGAAATTCACAATAAATAAATAAATAAATTTAGTACCAAAAAACATGAGATCAGAATACTTGAAAATAAAATCATGCCAGCTACTTTAATTTTGTAAATTAATTTTGATACGAAATTATAATTAAATTTACTTTGATAAGAAAATTTGACTACACAATTCTCATACTACTCTTCCAAAGTTTAGATTTGCACCTCAACATTTGTGCATGAACAGGTTTTAAGAAGTTGAGTTCATAGATATGTTATTGAGGTGCACCTCATTATAGAAATTATGTTCTTTTGTTGGATTTAAGAACTGGAGATAAAATTAGTAAAATATATTTATTTAAAAAAAAAAAAAAAAACCTATTGCCTCCCAAATATTGTTGGACATTGAAACAAAATACCATTGGATTTGTTGGAATTTCAAAGATTGCCTCCCAATTCACAAATACAGAAGTGATTTTGTTTGAATCCCATAATTCAAATGGATCAATCACATCATGACTTAAAAACATAAACTTCAAAATAAAAAAAAACATAATTTGGAAAAACAGAGATTGAAATTCCCTGAAAAACCAAGGAAACACTGATGTTTCCAATTTTTTCTCATCAGATCATATCCAAACATGAAATGCAATAAATTTTGGGATACCAATTAACCCAGCTCAATCAAATGAATGATCTTTGATCTCCTAATCTAAATTTTGAAGCAACAATATATACACACCACAGGGTATAACACAATAAATTTTTTATTAAATTATATACACAAGAAAGAGACTTCAGATCAGATCAAGAAGACGATGTTGAGATACAGATTACAATGTTCTGTGATTCAAATCCATAAAATTGAAGAAAACCCAAATACAATAACAACCACATAAGCTAATCTACATTTGAAAATCTAACAAAGAACAAAGAAAATTGAAACCAGTTTCCCCTCTAACCACAAAGTGATAATTTTTCCTTCATATTTTCCCGAGAAAAAAAAAAAAAAAAAAAAAAAAAAGAAAAGAAAGAAAGAAAATGCAAAGAAAAAGAAACAAACCAGTTAATCCTTCATCGTTGTCATCAAAGGCACAACGCGGTGGCGTGGAAATAATCAACACTATCAAAGTCGATGTCTTCCATCGGGGGCGGCAGATTAAGGTCGAACGGCAATGGTGGCTTATTAAACGACGCCGTTGCATCGCCGTCGCAATCGTCGACCACCGAAGACGACGAATCGCAGTCACTGCGGCAATCCTCCGGCGGAATCGGTTGTGGCTTCTGCCGATGCCGGATTCTGAACTTCGGCGGCGGATTCGACGGTCTGGGCCCACTGGAGGACTCCAAGGTGCTGCTCAGGCTGCTCGTGGTGGGTCTCGAATGAAATTGTTGAAATCCATCATCGTCCTGAAGATGATTACCGTTATTAGGGTTTGGGTTGGGTGTATTAGGGATTGAAAAGGGTAGTAATGGAAAATTGGTCTTGGCCTTGGGGCCGCGGAGAGACCTAGCGGCGGCGTCGTAGGCGCGTGCGGCGGCGTCCGCGGAGTCGAAGGTGCCGAGCCAGACTCGGGTTTTCTTCCAGGGGTCTCTGATCTCGGCGGCGAATCGGCCCCACGGCCGCTTTCGCACGCCTCGGTACTTGGGCTCTTCGTCGGGGTTTCTGGGTGGTCCGATCGTGGCTCCCTCCGCCGCCGCCGCCACCTTTGCCGTCGCCGTGGTTCTGGGTCGTGGCATGAGCTCCGGTGAAGAGGGCGGCGGCGATGATGATCAATAATCGACCGGAGATCGGATGAATATGATGAAATCTTGTTTTTACAATATGGTTATCATCTCTTCGATTGAATTGTTAATCTTCTTTCTTTCTCTCTCATTTCTCTCTCATCAATCTGTTTGTTTCTTGGAGAATGGAGTTTGTTTCATCTGTCTATCTCTATCTATATTGGCAATGGAGAAACCGGCCTCATGACTTGGTATGATTTATGCCTTATTCTATTCGGAAGGATATGGAATTATGCAACTAAAATGACCAAAATGCCAGTATTATTTCAATTTCTTTTTCTTTTTTTTTCTTTCTAGAAAAGTATATATATATTTTTTGTGGTTATGAAAAACTACATAAAATGCGTAGGTGTTTTATTTTTGGAGACAAAATAAAAAATAAGTTAATTGTTTCAAAATAAGGTAATGTTGTTAATGAAATATTTGGAATTATTATTGTAAAATAGGAAGGAGAAAAAGTAATGATTAGATTATGAGATATATTATTACTAACAAAGAAACACATGATGGCATGTAATTAAAAGTATCATGCTGTTATTTAGGGAAAAAAAAAAAAACGTATCATGGTGTTTATATATTCATTTAAATTTCACAAAAATATCTATATATTCTAAATTTCACAAGATATCAATACAAAAAGGAAGAAGATGGGAAAAAAAAGTATGAAAATATATATTGAAGATGGGCGAAAGCACTCTAAAATCAATAAGTCAAGCCTTTCAATGATTTTAAATAAAGACAAAAACGATAATAATGAATATCTTTAAACTTAAGAAGGTAAAATATTTACATAGATAATTAATGCATTCACCTGTGACTTGGAGTTTTTAAAGTCATCTTAGTGGAAATATTGATAGAAAAATGTTATTGATCACCCAATGCATGTTAATTCAAAAATTATAATAATCTCTCCAGTCAAGTTTACATTCAGACTTCTTGAGATTTGGTCATATTACACTTAAATAACTCCCTTAGACAAGGCTCTTTCGAGATCCACTCTAAGTTACAAACTTGGAGATACTGTCGACGGCAACACATCTCAGCACCAATTTCAATTAAGGAATATAATGAAGATGGACGGGCTCATATGACACCCAAGACCGTTGCCTAACCAACTCTACCAAGCTCACATTTCCTTTACATCTCAAATGTTAATTTTTAGTTAGACCATGGTATTTTTAAGGTATTAAATAACTATGTTACCTTGGACTATTTTTGTAACCAAACTACTCCAAACTTATTCACCTTTCATCTTCTTCTTCTTGTTCCTCCTCCCCCTCCTCCTCCTCACACCATCAGGCATCATCCAAGTCACCCTTCAACTCTAACCATCAATCTCATCCGTATATATATATATGTATGTATATAGACACACACACACACACACATGTATCTATCTATATATACACACACACATCAATCTCACCCATTCATATGTATATATATATAAATACACACACATACATGTATATATATATGTATCTATATATATACACGGTGGCTGGGAATCAGGGTACCACCGGCGGTATCGATGGCTTGTGGATTGTGGATTGTGGATTGGAGGTGGCGGTGGCCGGATCTCGATACCAAGATTGCGAACCCAGTTCGGGTACCACCGACGGTGGTCGAAATCCTAGATTTGCTGGCAAAAATGGTGGTTCTCTGACGGTGAGCAAGACCTGGCAGTGAAGACGATGACCGGCTTGGGTGGAGGTGCTTGGTGATGGCAACAATGGAATTGTCCGGCGATGGCCTGTGAACTGCGGCTTCGGATGATGGCGGCCGACGAGCAAGAGAGAGCTACTTCGGCAAGGACAGAAAGCTTCAGCAAGGAGATCTGTTCTGGCAACATGAAATGCAATAAATTTTGGGATACCAATTAACCCAGCTCAATCAAACGAATGATCTTTGATCTCCTAAACTAAATTTTGAAGTAACAATATACATACACACCACAGGGTATAAACACAATAGACTTCAGATCAGATTTTTTTTTGTGATACAGATTACAATGTTCTGTGATTCAAATCCATAAAATTGAAGAAAACCCAAATACAATAACAACCACATAAGCTAATCTACATTTGAAAATCTAACAAAGAACAAAGAAAATTTAAACCAGTTTCTCCTCTAACCACAAAGTGATAATTTTTCCTTCATATTTTCCCCCCAAAAAAAAAAATGCAAAGAAAAAGAAACAAACCAGTTAATCCTTCGTCGATGTCATCAAGGCACAACGCGGTGGCGTGGAAATAATCAACACTATCAAAGTCGATATCTTCCATCAGAGGCGGCAGATTAAGGTCGAACTGCGGCTTCGGATGATGGCGGCTTGGGTGGCGGTGTTGGTGGTTGTGGTGAGGATTGTGCTGGTGGTTGAAAGGGTGTGTGAGAGAGACCCATGGAGGAATGTGTCTTTGGTCTGGGGATTGAAGGGGTGGGATGAGGATTATGATGGCCGTATCCTCGTCGTCGCTGAGCCACAGATTGGGCTCCGGCGACTAGCAGCGGTGGAATCTAGGGCGAGAATCAAGGGTTGGAGGACAAAATCGATGAAATTCAAAATTGCAGAGGGGCATTTATGTCATTTGAAATTAAAGATATATTGTATTAACAATTTGAGAGTGAAAGGATCAATTCACATGTGTTTGAGGTAAACAAAAAAAAAATAAAATATAAAAATAAAAATAAAAATTTAGAGTGTAATTAAAAGTTAAAATTTAAATTTTCATTTAACCGAAAAATAACTAACTTCGTAAAGTGTCTGTATAATTTACCTTTCTTCTTTTTTTTCTTTTTTTCTTTTTTTATTATTATATTTTTTTTTTGTAAATCTAGGAGGGAGTATGATTGCAATCAATATTTATTTTTGTATTATTTTAGATTAAAAAATGGAGCTAATGTGAAAGAATTTGAACAAATCTGGTATTTTATAATTTTGTTCCGTTGAGGTTACCATAACGTTAAGTTGTTAACGTTAGGATATGAGATGTTTATGTCATCCAAAAATAAAAATAAATAAATTAGGGAGATTAGTATAATTTTTTATAATAAGAGTGGAAGCCAGTGTAATTATGTTATTTTTAAAACTATAAATGGATTGAACTATTAATGAACTGTTCATGTCATGTTTTTACTTTTTATTTTTATCTCGACAAACAATTCCTGCAATGCTTTTGGGTTAATAAGCAGTTGGTGTCCCTTTTTCTTTTTCTTTTTCTTTTTTATTTTATATATCTTGTATCTTAACAAATTTTACAAATATTTTGGGAAACTTGAATTCTCCACCTTTTATTTTAAAATAATTCATTAAAATAGTAAAATTTTAATTTAAACATCATCATTGCCATCGTTTATAATTAAAGAAATTGTACCTTTTTTGGATCATATTTTAGAGTTGAAGACTGATATGGTAACTTCTTAAATAAAATGTGAAAATATTTCTTCAAACTCTATAAATAAATGTGGAGAATGTATAGAAAATAAAAAAGAGTTTGATTGGGTGAGGAGAGAGTAGATTGGGTGATTGTAAAGGGATGTTAGTGAGGTTGTTCTTAACCATAAATTAATAATGGGTTTGCTCTAAGCCCAAAAAAAAGTTGGTGAGGTTGGTTTGCAAATACACTTTTTTATAGGATTGGTTGAGTGCATTTCCTAGTTGTAACATCTATGCTTGATTCATAATGCCGAAAATTACCTTCGTTTTTTTTTTTTTATTATTTTCCTAAATGAAAGGAGTATATGTATAAAACAAAATAGTACCTAGAAGCATGTGAGGACAAGCCTCGTAAGGAAACAAACCAAAACCTAAAAAAGGACAAAAACAACCTAGGCTAAGAGCAGCTGAGGATTACAAAATGTCTTGCAGATTGACCCCCAAAACATTAAGAACCTCCTAAAGTATACTTTTAGCTAGCTCATTAGCCTGTCTTTCTTACTTAGCATGTAAACGATTATTCATTTCCCACCAAATGAAATACAATATAGCAGTAAACATAACTCTAGCCATCTTCTTAACATCCTTTCGTTGCTGAAATTGGATAAACTGAGTTGCTAAATCGAAACCCCTCTTCAAATTCCAGCCACATATTTCAGCCAAAAAACACCATACATTCCAAGTATAATCACAATTATAAAACAAATGGTCCAAAGTTTCAACATCTTTATAGCAAAGTTAGCATTTTGATGCTAAAATAAAACCTCTTTTCTGTAAAAAAAAAATCTGAGTTTTGATTGCTTTTTGCATAACCAAAACAGAATGAAGCAACCATCTTGGCCTCCCCCCACTCCAACATAAACCAGCCCAAGCGACATCCTCCATTTTCACTCTAGGAGCGTCCCATGCAACCTTAAAACAAAACGGTTGAATCCATTTAATTTGATCCACCCCACCTGAAATCATCTGATTTTTAAACAGCAGCAGCATCTCTTGCATAGAGTTGCTTAGTTTATCACCATCCCAGTGACCATTTGTAATGAAATCACACATACTAATCTTCTTATCACGACTCAGGTACCCAAGAGTCCTACGGTTAAAGAGCTCTCTCAAGAACCTGCCTTCACACCAAGGATCCATAAAAACTTTTATATTCTTCCCATTTCCAATAATGTATCTGCAATTGACCTTCAGAATCTCTCTAACAACAATAATACTTTTAGACAGCTGAAGAAGCAACTTTAGGAATCATATTCCAGTAAGAAGCCTTATTCAGATAGCAATTTAAAAACCATGCCCACAGCCTATCCTTAGACAATAAATAGTCCCAAGCAAGACTGAAAATTATCTCTTTGAACGTAGTCCTACAAGATTGGGTGAACTACGTTAAATATTGTGTTATGTGTTTGATTGGTATGTGACTGTATCCCATATATTCAGTTTGATGGTTCTACGATGATATGTTTCCTTTTTGCTTGAATGAAAGGGATTTAATTCTTAACCTAACTTAAATTCTGTCAAAGATGTTGTTTTAGAAAAGTGCAACCACTCAAGTGTAAGAAGTGACGAAGATCGAGGTTTTGGAGAAGTGCAATTGGTCGTACTTGCCTGACGACATACGCATGATTTGTTTCCTTATCCGAGGAATTACTTTCATATAGGCGGCAAACTTGTAAGGTAAGTTATTTTTTCTAATCAAGGAAGTTGTCTATCACTTTGATTCTATTTTAGAGTTGAAGACTGATGTGATAACTTTTTGTTGAAATTCGTTGTTCAAGAATGAAT